ATTATGCAGCAGATTCAGTACAAGTCAGCATTATTAGCCCTCTTTGAATTTTTTTTCTTTTTTAAATATTTCACAAATGATGCTCAGCAAAGCAAGGAAATTTTCATTGTATGTCTGATAATATTTGTTATTTGGAGAAAGTCTTATTTGTTTTATTTCAGCTAGAATAAAATTAGTTTTTAAGGTCAAAAACATTTTAAGGTCAAAATTATTAGCCCCTTTAAGTTATATATTTTTTGATCGTCTGTAGAACAAACAGTTATCAAAAACTATTATGTTTAGAAATGTGTTTAAAAAATCTCTCTGTTAAACAGAAATTGGGGGGAAAAAACATGGGGCTAATAATTCTGAATTCAACTGTATTTATAGCAAGTGTTACACATATTAATTGGTTTAAATATAAAGAATTTAATGTAAATAATTATAAAAATAAATATAATAATTTATATTTGGAAAGATTTATCATTTAAAAATAATATAAAATTGCATTATGTAATAAATTAAATAATTGCACAAGCCATGTAATAATCTTTGCTGGCTAAGCAACTCAAAAAAAATCACTGTTTTTTTTTCTGTCCAAAATTCACAAAGGGAATTTTTGCTGACAGAACCATGCTTCAACGGTTCTTTCGGCTTTGGGAAATTATGACAGACAGCTCCTGCTTTGAGGTAGTCCCGAAAGAAAAGCTGCTTCCCGTTTCTGTCTGTTTCAGTGTGCCTCAAGTCACTTCTCGCCCTGAGCAGCTCCAAAAACTGTGATTACCACTAAAACCTATTTTAGGCTTTGTTTTTACTGTCACATGACACAAAACACAGCAGTGCATGTGTAGCATGTTGACCTCATGTGAACATATTCACAGACAGATTTGCTGACAGCATGTCAGACAAACGTAGATGCTGCTTCATATTCTTACAGCCACGACAAAAAAAAAAAAAAACTGCGCTTTCAGATGCCAAAAAAAAAACACGCAGCGAGAGAGAGATAAAGAGTGAACAGGTTTGGATGGAGTGGTTACACACACCGACTGTTACATCCACATATATAATCGAGTGAGATCAGACAGGCTTCATCTAAATCTCCACCTCTTTTATTCATTCTGTCCGTCTCTATTTTCTCATTTTCCATGTTCCTTTCTCTCTCTCTTTCTCTCTCTCAGTAGCTTGGTTTCTTGCTCTATTTTCTCTCTGATTCTGATTGGCCAAACAGGTGCTTTTCTAGCCTCTGATTGGACGGGCACTCTCTCTCTCCCTCTCGCTCTTCCATTTTCTCTCTTTTTTCCCCATAATGCCCATGGTTGGTGAGCAGGAGCTAAGGGTCCGTCCAATCATTGTCTGAGCCATCAATCAAAGCTGACGGGCCCAAGCGACATGAAAAGAAACCTCAGTGGCAGCCATTAACCGAACACCCCCCACCACCCCTCTCTCTCTCTCTCTCAACCCCCCGTGCTTTGTTTTCCTTTCAGCAGACAAAAACGGACTGACAAGATGGAGGGTTGGACATTAATCAAACCACCCCATGGAACCACCTCTTCCTCCTGATAATAAATAAATTCCACTCTTCTCATTGGACAGATGCTCGCATTTTCGCCGTCCTCCTCCTCTTCGCTCGCTCTCTGGGTTTTAAGGATCCTCATCTGCTCTCAGTCAGAGTAATTCCCCACAGATCAGAGCGGGGCAGGTGTTTGCTTCACCCTCCTGCCTCTCCAGGGGCCGTGTTGGCCTGACAGCTGACCGTCCCGGGCCTGTCTCCTTTGGTTCGCGGCTGCCGTATGCGTGTTCTGTTTGGTTTGGACCAATGGTTCACCCCCCTGCGCTTTAATTGAACATGCACTGCTCAGCGGGAGGAAGGAACGGCCGCAGGAAAAAAAACAACATTCTTTCTACACGCATGACTATGAATGTCAACCATGCTCAGATCACTGCGTCCTTTTCGCTGGTGGAAAAATCATACGCAGCCCGTGAGAGTGCACATACAAACAGCCTTTGTTGATCTGGAAACATGACAGCTGGTCTTTTCCGGTGACAGACAGAACAACAAGATTCCCAAGATGAGGCAAAGGCGTCTAATTAAAACAGTGCCGAGGTTTATTGAATAATGCACCCGATTTCAAAATAACACAATGCAATTCAGCTGTTCAGGTTTGCATTGCACAAATGCGAGATGTGAACAAAATGACGTACATCGAAGGAGTGTAAAATAAAAACAAAACAGCTGTTAGGACTTATATTGCAGATATAAAAGATGAAAACAAAGGGATACTTTTGTTTGATGTTGTAATAGCCAAATGCTAAAAACCTATAAAAAAAAAGAATAAATAAGTAAAAACACAGATGTTTGGACAACAACATATACACAACAACTGCAAAATCAAAGCAAAACAGCTGCTAGGGCTTATATTTGAGGTCAAAACGCAGCATGACTGTTTGATCTGGCATAACTCAAATGCAAAATCACAATAAAACCAGCAGTTTGGGTATTTAAAAAAAAACCCTAACAAAACCAAAAACCTGGAGTACTGCAATGAAATCAAAACAAAAATGGATATTTATGACAAAGTAAAGAAAGAACTAATTAGCAGACCTTTAAATAATTAATTGTAAGCAAAACAATAGTGGTGTGTGGTCTATATTATACTAAACAAATCTCTAAAAAAGTAGAATATATACTAGGGCCAGGATTAAAATGATCAAAATAGACTTTTTCTGCTTATCCAAGATGCTTGTGACTCCTTGAACAGAAGTGCAAATTCATTTAAAAGCACAGAAGCACAAATGATAGATCAGGAATGCACTGGGGAGGTGCGTTCCTCCGAATAATTTCTTCCTCTGCTTGACAGGTAAAAGAAGACAAATGAAAAGTTAAGATGGCACGTGGAGGCGTGTTAGTGAGCCGCAACGGGTACCATGGCACCCTGCCTTGCAGGGCATTGTGGGATATGTCCTCCACCAAAGTGGCTGCCCAGATGACATATTACAGCTCTGCAGGAAACGCATGGGCCTACAGAAGGAGGCGTTTCTCCTGCGTTCTGCAAACGTTTAATTTTGGTTGTCTTCCCTGCTGTTTTTACCCAGGTTCAGCGAGAGTCCCGCCGAGGGCCGAAGCGTGTTTGCATTGGCCCCTTCAGAGAAGGATGCAAGCCCGCATGACTGTTCAACGCTCCAACCTCCAACTTTGAAGTTTTCTTTGACTGCGCAGTGAAAATATTGGCGCACACAACTCATATTCGTAAATCAGCCGGAGCCTTCAAGAGATCAAATGGCGGCGCTGAAATATTCGCTTCCTCGCAACGTTTACATCCTCGCATGAGATAAAAGAAAACATTGAAGGAGAGGCCTCTATCCGGGTGGCGAATTCAAAGCGATTTACGCACACGCCAGCGATAACGCAATGACACAATGAGGATGTCTGAACCTGAAGAAACAAAAGAAGCCCATTGATTTGCTGTTAGCAGATCGGGCTAGTGGAAATACAGCCGGGGTCTGTAAGATGGCTGGATCGGTGGAGATATCGTCCCCAGTGCGACGCCGCTGTTTTCCTGAACCCCAATCTGTTGTATCATTGACACATAAATGGATTAGGGTCATGTATCACTGATAATGGTCTAGCCCAATGCTGGAGCGTCTGCGGTTTGGGTTGTGTGTGCGCGATAAGGCCTATTGATTATGTACCATATGCAGTTCCCACGCCGTCCTTTGTGCCATGTGTTCGCTGATGTGTTTTTCTCCCTAGAAAGGGGTGCGTGTGTGTGGTGATACAGCTGGTGAGTGCGGGGTTAATTTACTCACACAGTCGTCGGCCTTCAGGAGCCTGTGTGCTTCTGTCTGGAAAGGTGAAACGCTGTACGCTTGCATGCAGTGGAATCAATAGAACAGAATCTGCAATCAAGACACACAAAAAAAGTAGACGCAACGCATTCAAGACAGACAAGTCGTTTCTTTTAATGGATGTAATCACAGTGGTTTCGAACTGTACTACAGTGTTTTCTGACTGATAAGGCCACAGTAAGGAGTCCAATAGAAGAGGCACGTGTGTGTCACATCACACACACACAGAAAATATATTCACGTTACACGGCGGGCACACTTTCAACATGTGATCAACTAAAATACCACAAGTCTGAACTACATCAATCACGATGTAACCCCCCTACCAAGTGACATCCATGTAATTTTACAGGAGAGCGATGCTTAACCATCTGCCGCTGGGTTCGCAGCTTTAGTCTACTTCACTCCAAGTTTTAGCGCACGACAAACAGTGTGTGATAACGTCTGGCAGTGATACGCCGAAGCTACTGTTTTTCATCTACTTCGAACTGTGACTCCAGGTTTCGCTTCGCAATTTCATATCAATAAAAAAGTCAGTTTTGTGTAATCCAAATGATTAACATCATACATACATATATGACGTTTGTCATGTACTCTATAGCGTTGACAAAACCATTCAGATACAATCTTAAAGGGATAGTTCACTTAAAAAAATAGGAGTGCACAATTTTTGGGAGAAATATATTAGCGATTCTGCTGATGAAAAGTGTGATTGGGATTTAAAATATGATATAAAAATAAATAAAGCTCCAGGTTTGTTGCGCTTGTTTGTAAGGCTGTATGATTGTACTGTGTGTCATATATAAACAATAATATATATATATATATATATATATATATATATATATATATATATATATATATATATATATATATATAAATCAAATTCATTTATTTTATTTTCGTCTTAGTCCCTTTATTCATCAGGGGTCACCACAGCGAAATGAACCACCATCTTTTCCAACATGTTTTATGCATAGGATACCTTTCCAGCTGCAACCCATCTCTGGGAAACACTTACTGTATACACTCTCATTCACACACATACTCTACGGACAATTTAGCTTACCCAATTCACTTATTGCACGTCTTTGGACTTTTGAGGAAAACCGGAGCACCCAGAAGAAACCCACCCAAACATGGGTAGAACATGCAAAACTCCAAAAAAAAATGCCAACTGATCCAGCCGAGGCTTGAACCAGTGAGCTTCTTGCTGTGAGGCGACAGAGCTACCCACTGTGCCACCACGTCACCCTATATGTGAAATAATTTGAATTAATCATAGGTTTATTATTACTACTAATTAATAAAAACCTTAAAATAAGAAAATAGTTTCTATTGTAGTATTTAATTGTACAAAATATACGATTGCAAATGTAAAATTATGAATTTGTGATAAATAAATGAATTAATTAAAAGACATTTAAATACCATATTAATTCAATGCTAAAAGATCTTGAGGCTTCCTTTTTAAGCACTTATTGTTTTGTCAAAATATTTGGTGATATGCACATAAAATAAGTAACATCATAGCTTATAATTTTCTGCGAGCCATGTTGCTGTAAGACACTGACAAACACTGGATTTACACTTCTCACATGTAAATAACCACAGTAAAGCTCGTTACTCTATTTTGTCTGTACTGCTCTTTGCATTTTCTGGGTTATTTCGGTTAACTGTGCACTCTTATTTAAAGTAATAGTTCTGTCATGATTTACTCACTTTCATATCATTTCAAACCTACACACAAGCAAGTCTAAAAACTGAGAAAATGATGACAGAACAAATGTGACAAAACTATCCCTTTAAAGTTACTAATAGAATTTTGTGATGCTTATTTGTGAATTCTTCAAGTTCATTGAAAATGCCAACTTTCAATGCTCATACATTGCTCCCGCCTCCTCCGGAGATCCCACCAATAATTCATCAGCTGGGTGTGGCCTTTTCCGAAGCCTCTTGGCCTCATTCTGAAGCTTCTGTCGAATGTAGCCCTTTATTTCCGAATCTGTCTTTCCGGGAAAGAACTGCTGCACTGTCCCTGTGGAGAACATTTCACTGGTAATCAAAACAGCAAACTTGAGATCACAATTAATCAAAACTTCCTGTCCTGATTGCAGTTAATGAAATGGAACTGGACGTATTCTCATACTAACTAAAGTACGCCCATCGTTCAGTATTTGTTACAAAGCAACCCTTATACGTACTTAAAATGGCCTGGATCTCATGGGCAGGAAGAGCTGGCTTCGGCATCCCTCGTTTGCTGTTAACGATGCCTGAGATTGAGTGAGAAGCCAGACAGTCTCTGTCATAAAGGCTACGCAGCAGGTCATTGGTTAGTTTTTGAGCGGTGGTCCCTGTGTTGCAGCGCTCTAGGAGATCAGCAGTGATAACCTGGAGAAACACACATTAAAGCTTTGGTTAACTGATATGCATTTTTCAAGATCAAGTACACAGATAACTGATGTTTTAAACTGATATAGAGTTAAAGTCAGACTTATTAGCCCTCCTGAATTAGAAGTTTTTTTTCAACATATTTATAATCATAATAGTTTTAATAACTCATTTCTAATAACTGCTTTATTTTATCTTTGCCATGATGGCAGTACATAATATTTTACTAGATATTTTTCAAGATACTAGTATTCTGCTTAAAGTGACATTTGAAGGCTTAACTAGGTTAATTTGGTTAACTAGGCAGGTTAGGGTAATTAAAGCAAATCACTGTATAACGATGGTTTGTTCTGCAGTAATAAAAAAAATGCTTAAGATGGTTATTAATATTGACCTTAAAATTTTTTTTTTTTTTAAATTAAAACTACTTTTAATCTGGCCGAAATAAAACAAATAAGACTTTCTCTAGACTAAAATATTATGGAAAACACTGTGAGAAATTAATTGCTCTGTTAAACATTATTTGGCAAATATTTGAAAAAGAAAAAAGAAAATCCCAGGAGGGCTGATAATTTTGATTTCAACTGTACATGACTGTTTTAGCAATGAAATAGGTTACAATGAAGATGCTTTTCAAGGCTTCTTTTTAATTTTCTTTATAGTCAAGTATACTTTTCATGCAATGCTGGGTTTGTGTTGTTCAGGGTCAATGCTGACACAGATTATTGTCGATTATTGGTTATGTAGACCAGTGGTTCCCAAAGTGGGGGTCGGGATCCTCTGGGAGGTCACAAGACAATGATAGGGGGTCGCTTGGTGATTTCCAAAAGTCAAATAAATTTTATTAAACTATTAGAACTACCTTATTTTATTCACAACCTACAGAAGATAAAAATAGTAAATAGTTACATAAAATGCAACAACAGGCAAATAAAAAGCCATCAGCCATTTAATTTGTTTATGGGATTGGTGTGTTTACATTAGATTAACAACACAGCAATAGCGTCCGCTGCAGCAGATTGATTTTATAGCACCAGGTTAAACTTTCTGACACCTTTATGACAATTAAATATCTTAAAAATGAATACAGGCCACAACTGAACATTAAGGATGATCTCTGGGTGGCGGTCTCCAAAACTGACTTGTGCTGAAAACATTGTGCCCATCAATCTCAATAAATGAGGTTAATAATAAATAAAAAAAATAATAAATGACTATATAAATTATAGCCTATAGTTGTTGCAATTTTTTGTTTTTTCAATATGTTGGTGTTTATGTAGGCCTATTGTTGTGTGAGCAACATTTGTATATTTATAACCACCTCCGAGGAATGTGGGGGTCGCGTGTCACTGGCATTGTTATTTTGGGGGTCTTTCTTTCTTTATGCCTTTGTACATATCTTTACTTCTGAAACTGTAAATATTAATATTAAAATAATAGAGTTATTAAATTGTCCATTGCAATGTGATCGGCTGTTATTCTCATAGGGCTGTGTGATATTAAAGAAAATTGACAATGCTATGTCTGTTTATTGTTATAACAATATATTATTGTTCAGGCCTTCTTGGGTATTTCATTATAATAAAGTATATTTGTAAAACAATGCTAACTGTCTAAATATTAACTTCGATATAAAAGGCCCTATAAATATAAAAAGTAATAATTATGACCTATTGCTTATTGGAAGACACATCAACTCATCAAACAACTTACACTATGAAGTGAGTTTAGAGTAGTTTGTTATTAAATGTTGTCTTTTGTTGGACAGAAAGTTCATAAATGCTTCTCATATGTTTCGATGCATGTTGTTTTTCAAATGAACATTATTCATTTTTCTTTCTTTTCAGCTTAGTCCCTTTATTAATTCGGGGTCGCCACAGCGGAATAAACCGCCAACTTATCCAGCACATTTTTACGCAGCGGGTGCCCTTCCAGCCACAACCCATCTCTGGGAAACATTTACACACACGCATTTACACTCATACACTACGGACAATTTAGCTTACCCGATTCACCTGTACCGCATGTCTTTGGACTGTGGGAGAAACTGGAGCACCTGGAGGAAACCCACGCAAATGCAGGTAGAACATGCAAACTTCACACAGAAATGCCAACTGACCCAGCCGAGGCTCAAACCAGCGACCTTCTTGCTGTGAGGTGACAGCACTACCTACTGCGCCACTGTGTCACCAAATGAACATTATAAGTGACTAAAATTCAGTGCCTCGAGATGCAGCACCATTTACTACTGAGTGACAACATAATAAAATTATTCATAACCAAATGACCATTACTGATAACCAAAAAATGCTTAAAATTATCAACGATAATCGGCTAAGCTGATAACCATCTAACCCTTATTCTAGATCAAAAATGCCCAAATTAGTGCCCGCAGGCCAAAATTGGCCCATTGTAACCTTTGATTTGGCCCACCATCCAATCTGAGGAGAGTGAGTATGATGGAGAGGGTTGAGGAATCTCTGCATTGTCTTTAACACAGAGATTGTCATTTCTAATTTGACGTAACTTTTCTGTTTGTTTTATTGCTGGACTACAAAAAAGCAAACTCAATATTAAATGTTTCAATTAAATGTTGTAAATGAATCTGATTTTACAAAATGTAAAAACTGTCACTTGACAGACAGAGGAATATGCAGAAGACATCGGCAAGAAAATCACGGCAAAAACTTGTGTAATTCTGTTATAAATGAGATTATTTTTGTTTTTACTGTAATAAGTTCATTATAAAATGTAAAAAAAATACTGTATTAGTAGATATAAGACAATGTTTTCTAGTCATTGTTAAACACTTTTAAATAAATTAAGAAATTACCATGGCAACTATATTTACCTTTGGCCCACTAGCCTCAATCAAGTTTGGTTTTTGGCCCTCCATAAGAAAAAGTTTGGGCACTCCTGTTTTAAATGAACTAAAAGTCACCAAACATTTAGTGAGAGCTTCAAATAATTTTTAAATAATCAACAATATTTCCAAATGTTAGGTCTTTGTAGTGGGCAAGAAGAACCATGCCAATAACCTAAAACATAAGTAACTTGAGGTTTTCCTTAAAATGCAAATATTTCTACTTTGCAAAACATCAAGTTAATAGAATGCAGCAACCATGAATAAACTAAGCATTTAAAAAAACTGTTCAAGCAAAACAATCAAATAATAGCTGTTGAATGTCAAATTTTAGTTTCAAATGGATCACAAGTGAACTTCTCTAGATAAATTTTACTGTAATATTGGAATTAATCTAGATTAAAATGGCTCATTTGATTTCAGAATATATGTGTGTGGCGAGGGGGCGTGGCCGAGAGCCGTGGGAACGGGATGAGGCCACCGCGTGAGTGGATACACGTGCGGTGTGCACCTGCCTCGGATCCCACGGAAGGAGCTCTGGACCATAAAAGGAGGACCGATGGCAGAGGAAGCCGAGAGAGGACCGGGCCCGGGCATATTGTTTTACTTTTGCTTTCAGTTTGACGGCAGTCTCCACGAGGAGCTGCCGTCCGTTTGTTTTGGTTTAAATGGCAGTCTCCGTGAGGAGCTGCCGTCATTATTATTAATAAATATTTTAAACCTGCGTCGGTTCTCCGCCTCCTTCTTCCCGGCGGCCAAAGGGCCGTAAACTTCATTACAGTGGTGCCGAAGCCCGGGAGAAGGAGGGACGCGTTGTCCAGATGCCCTCGCCGCTGAGAGAGGGGGCGAGTGTTCGGGAGTTAACCCGAGTGGGGGAGAAACCCGTTCGTCTGCCCAGAGTGCCGGGGCGGCCTGAGGCTGGCGAGGAAAGGATCTGCCTGCTGCCGTCTCCCAGCATGGGGAGGAGCAGGGGACGCGGGGCTCACCACCGGAAGGGAAAGAGCTGAAGGGAGCCATCCCACAGAACCCGGGGGAGTCGCCGCGATCCGCCATGATGCCAGAGCCTGCATCCATCCACCGAAGCGGGAGCGGAGCAGGAGACCAGAAATGCCGCCAGCCAGCCAGGAGAACCGCCGCCGGACGCCAGAAGATGGACGGGTGGATAGATTCCTCCACAGGGCTCCCAGCACGTCGTCGCATCTCTCAGCTGGTGGAGGACCGAGTGGCAGCGTGTCTGGAGAACCGAACCCCAATTTTTTTTTTTCTTTTTCCTCTCTCCCCTTTCTCGGTCTACTCTGTCTTTCCTCCTTTTTTTTCCATCTCCTTTTCTCTCGGCCCGTCTCATATAGGTCTCGCGGGTGCTGTGGCGCCAAACCCCCCCCCCGGAGTATGCACAGCCACGGGGTGCCCCCGGCCTGTGATGGGAGATGGGGGTATGTGGCGAGGGGGCGTGGCCGAGAGCCGTGGGAACGGGGTGAGGCCACCGCGTGAGTGGATACACGTGCAGTGCGCACCTGCCTCGGATCCCACGGAAGGAGCTCTGGACCATAAAAGGAGGACCGATGGCAGAGGAAGCCGAGAGAGGACCGGGCCCGGGCATATTGTTTTACTTTTGCTTTCAGTTTGACGGCAGTCTCCGCGAGGAGCTGCCGTCCGTTTGTTTTGGTTTAAATGGCAGTCTCCGTGAGGAGCTGCCGTCATTATTATTAATAAATATTTTAAACCTGCGTCGGTTCTCCGCCTCCTTCTTCCCGGCGGCCAAAGGGCCGTAAACTTCATTACAATGTGCTACCCAAAAAATTACTAAATATACATCTTTGAGATTGGGTTTCTCAAGCAGGAGGTGCATTAGACCAGGGGCTCTTCAAAAACGCTTTAGAAACTGTTCTACTATAATAATTGGTGATAAAAATAAATTATGTTCAACAAGATGAACTTGTGTTTACTAACCATCTATTCAGTTAAACATTAATGTTTTTTCTTTCCATTTGGAGTGCGTTATTAAATTCCCTAACACTCTCACCAGTACTTACTCTTTATTTGCGTCTAATACCCCAGTTTGTCACGGAGGCATGAATGAAATGTTCATGAGTAAGTAAAACTGCCTAACTGCAGTTGAAGTCACCGAATGTTACAGGAAACTATTACATGACTTTACAAGCACTTTACTTAAACACCTTAATTATATTATTGTCTATTAAGGCAAATACCTATATTACCGATGTGTCTTCGAAGTAAATGAAAGACCCAGAAGGGCATCCAGCTAATTTGATTCAGAAGGGCACTTTTTTGTCAGACGGCTCACTGGTCAGGTATACATTCACGCTAAAATATCAAAGTAAAAGTCACCATAGCTTGCGTAGAACAGACCCAGCTCTTAACTCAACTTTGAGAATAGATTAACGGTAATTTTTTTTACTGGCGGATAAGAGATAACGCAAGTTAACGCCAATAACGGCCCACCACTACTTCAAATCCTAAAATGTATCCAATGCATGTAATATTTTTATTACATACATTAATAATATAATATTAATTTAATTATAATTCACATTTACATTTAAAAAAAAACAACTTTTTTTTGAATGATAAAATCACTTTATAATGCAACCTTTGTTTTACACTCTTTCTAGAAACAAAACTTTATATTGTTTTGTATATTGTTTGGAGCTACAAATTGGGCATGATGTATGATTATTCAAAACAGATTAAATGATGATTTTAAAAAGTCATTAACTGCAGCCCTACAATAAAACAGTAGTAAAAAAAACAATTGTTTTGGTATTAGACTGAAAACAGTCTGTGAAGAAACAAATATTACATTTAAACTTATTTCTGTTTTACACATTATTTAAATAGAATTGTTTAAAAACAAATAAAAAAACAAAGTTTGCACTCCATAACTCCAAAACTAAAATTAAATCATCAATAGAAAAAGTTTTTTTTTTTAACTAAACAAAGACATTCTGGGTCATGTTGATTATTTAAAAACTTTTAGATAATTTTTTGTCTGTTAGATGTGCACACACTTAGTCAAATTTTTTATTCTTATTTTAAAATATTTTTTGTTTCCAATGTAAACATTTGATATTTCCCATAATTTGAAAGAACATTAGAGTTGGGAATTCTAAAACTGCATATTTTACCAAAAAATATATCATGAACAAGTTCTGAAACAGACTTGCTTTTGGTATCCACGAAGCTTAACTCTTACTTTTTGTTCCAGAGGCGCTCCATTCCTCTGCGGCATTGTTTGTGTGACCTCATACTGACCACACCCCTGCTGCTCTGAACTTGCACATTCAGCTGTTGTTCCACTGAGCTCTGCTGGAGGAGAGATGTGACTGGGTGGCCTGCTTCTCTCCTGCTCCCTAGGAATGCTGGGAGTTGCAGCTTTGTGGCAGCAGCACAGCCATCTATCACTCCTCTCGATCAACTCTTCAAGTGTCTGAGCCAACTTCCCACAAGCTGCACAAAAAAAAACATTTGAATGCATTCTGAAATTGTCTCACCAGTGTTAAACTGTTGTGTAACATGGCACAGCACAGTAACACTAAATCTTCCTTTGACGTGAAGTTTCCCCGTGAACTTGCTGATCTTTTCCTCAAAATGTAATGATCTCGAAATGTGAAATCATCTGTGAATGAGTCAGTTGAAGGAAAGCTTTCGGGATTCTCTGGCAATAGAAACGCGCTGCACTAAAAAAACAGAAAGTGGCACTTTTCCTCCTCATTTCAAAAGTCTGCTACTTTACCTGTGAGGCTCCTGATCTGCTCTCGGAGGCCGTCCATCTCTCTCTGCATACTCAACACCATGGCAATTAGCTCCGCCCTTGAACGTGATTGGAGGCTTCCGAGTACCTGAAGGGAGATTATTTGCATCACATTATTAACTGAGTGAGGCAACATGGTGGGTCAGTGAGTAGCACTGTCAATTATTGCCATTTCATATGCTGAATTAGTTGGCAGTTCATTCTGCTGTGGTGACCCCAGATAAATAAAGGGACATGGCATAAGCACTGAGGGAGTGGCATAAGCACTGAGATGCTTATGTGGGGTTCAAATACTATTAGTAATTTAATAAATGTTCATGAAAAACAAGTATTTGGAGCAGAAATAGTGTAACTGCAATTCACTTTTTGGATCTAGATGCTCTAAAACAGGGGTGTCCAAACTCAGTCCTGCAGGGTCGCTATACTGCTGAGTTTAGCTCCAACATCCTCCAACACACCTGCCAGGAAGTTTCTAGTATATCTAGTAAGAGCTTGATTAGCTGGTTCAGATGTGTTTAATCAGAGTTGGAGCTAAACTATCAAGGGCACCGGCCCTCCAGGACCAAGTTTGGACATCCCTGCTCTAAACACATTTAGTCAAAGACGTTTTTAAAGGGATAATTAACACAATTTTGGGCTTCTAAAATGTAGGTGATTTTTTTTTTTCCATTTAACTCATTGAAGAAGATTTTAAGAAGAAACCGGTCCTTGGTGATTCAATACTCAAATGTTTGTTCACAATGGAAAGGGAGGACGCCTATCAGATGCTACATCTGTTTTTCCTAGATGTGGGAGTGTATATTAAAAACCTATGAGCAATCTCATTTGTAATTATTGGCCTTTCATATATTTTCCCAAACTTTAAAATGTGACATTTTCAGTCAGCAAGCTCACAGTCCAGGCTGTCATGAAACTGCAGATTAAAAGTAATAACACTGTAAATACTGTTTCATAATCTGTAAGTAACTGTAAAGAATAATTTCACTTACACTTTCAAGACCTAAATTTTTTACCAAAGACTAAAATATTGTTGTATTATAATGTATTGTGTGGGCCAATAAAGTGGCTCAGTGGTTAGCACTGTCGCCCCACAGCAAGAAGGTCGCCGCTTCGAGTCTTGGCTGGTGGCATTTCTGTGTGGAGTTAGCATGTTCTCCCCAAGTTTGTGTGGGTTTCCTCTGGATGCTCTGGTTTCCCCCACAGTTTAAAGAATAGGTGAATTGAACAAACAAACTAAATTGGCCGTAGTGTATGTGTGTGAATGAGTTTGAATGGATGTTTGAGTGCTGGGTTGCAGCTGGAAGGGCATCCGCTGTGTAAAACATTTGCTGGATAGGTTGGTGATTCTTTTTGCTGTGGCAACCCCTAATTAATAAAGGGACTAAGCCGAAGGAAAATGAATTAATGACTTTTCACATATTTTCCCAAACTTTAATATGCGGTATTATGAGTCAGCAAGCTCGCAATTCAGACTGTCATGAGACATAATCTGTACATAATCTGTAAATAACTGTAAACATTCATTTCACTTCATAACACTTAAATTTATTCCTAAAGACTAAAATAGTATTGTATTGTATGAATCACAAAAGACCAGTTTCAGCTAATAATCTGGTTCCACTGAAGAAAACAAGTCACTATATCTTGGATTTGCTGAGGATCCATCAGGTTTTCATTTTTGGATGAAATATATGGAGTTAAGTAAGACATGAAGGCAATTGGCTGTCAAAAGCATTTCATTGCAGATGTTTACAGATATCCTAATTTAACTAGCAGTGAATTAAATGCTATATTCTTTCAAAAGCAGTGTTATGTGGTGATAGACATTACCTCCATAGTAAAGTCTGTATCCCTAGCTGCATCTCCAAGGGCTTTATCCACCTCAAAAGCCTGTTTAAATGCAAATTAAAACCATATGAATTAAACATGAATACAATGGACTGTTTCACTAAAAATACCACAGTTTTGGCTATTTTTTTTTCAAGAAACTGATAGGCATCAATCAGCATTCCTCACGCTGACAAATCCAAATGTCTCAAGCTTCTTGTTAAAAATTCAAGCACCTCTAAACATTTCCCAAATAACAGGATTTGTTGAGAAACTGGTGAAAGCCTACAATGGGGTTTCCTCTAAACTCTTAGAAAGCTTTTTCCTTTTTGAAATGTTACCTAATGGACCTCCAGAGGGTTTTGCCAGGGCGAGGAATCCCAAACGATGCCTCTAGTGTCTTCATTTGATGATCCTATTAACCTTCATTAAACTACAGATATAAACAAATCTGAAACGATTTAAAGCACATAAATCACATTAAATATTCAGTGCATCGTTTGTATCTCTCACGTAACGTATTACACAACATTATTACAATCTCAAAGCTAATAAATGAGAAGAATTGATGTTGCCAGCCAATCTAATTTATTCAGCTATCAGCTAAAAACAGAACTGCTGTCATATTGACTGAGCAATAAAAACACGAACAGACCTTTGTTTTGAACTTGATGTAGTCAACATTGCAAGGTGAGATGTCCTCTCCATTTAGTCCTCTCCATTTTCTCCTCTTCGCCGGTTCTTGCTGAAAGATCAGTCACATAATTAAATCAAGGCTCTGCAAAACAATGACACTACGCGACAAAAGCTTGATGTTTACATACACTGAAGACGTGGTTCGCCCTCGCGCCCATTTCCTCGGCTGTCTCTTCGTATCTCTCGTATCCATTGTACAGTATGCGCTTCGCTATTGTTTTTCTCCTCATCTTTCGCCCATTAGCCGTTTTCCTCGCCGAAATAGCGTCCGGTTCTTTATCATGCCGGTCATGGCCACGCGCAGATCCGTGACAGCCTGATGACTTTCACGCTCGTGGCATTTCGATTAAAGTTAAAGACACTCTGGCGTGTCAACATCACGAGTGCGTCTCCAAACACTTCAAAACGAGTAAAATGTGCCAAAGGGGGACCCTAAAAGTTTTAATAGTGCTTAATGTCTTAAATCTTTGAAGAAAAAAGGTTGATTAAACAGCACATAAAGTGTCATGTTGAGATGATTACTACAGCTGCTATCATAAAGTCCTTTAGTACAGCTCCCAACTCTTATCTGTTTTTATTTAGGCTATTGCGTAAAATGGCAAGATTAATAGCATCAATAAAGTCTAAAAGTTTTAAATATCTCTTACTGTTAGTTTGCTTGTTTATTTTAGAAATTTTGATTTACTGAAACCCTTCACAAAAGATGTGGCTATTTTTCAGTCATTAGAGTTATTAAACACATTGTTATTATCTATTAAATATGATTTATTAACTATTATGTGACATTTAAAACAAATGTCTGTAGTTTTACATTAATCAAATAGCTTCTTGGCTGCTTGACTAAGTTAAAGTCATAATTATATCTTGCACATCATTAAAAGAAGCAGTCATATTCAATAAAAATTATACAAATAATTTTACAAATTAATCAATTGTAATTATGAAAAGCATAACCTTAAGAAAATCATTCCATCATATTTTAATCTTATCAAGTCATATAATTTGCACTTTGTGCAGAATGGTGAAAAATTAAATAATTTTATTACATTTTCTCAATTATTGTACAAACAGGCATGTGAGCATAAAATGACTAAATGTGTTGCATACTTTTTTGAGACGTAAAAATAAAGATTGAAACCTTTAACTCTTTATATTAAATATATTGGTTATTAAAATATATTAATTACATCCATCAAAGGCCTTTGAATCTTGCATTTGTCTAAATCAAAAAAATATGTCCAAAGTAAAGTAAAAACAATCTTATATATAGCTTTTTTAAAGATTTCTTTCATGTTAAGACTTTTTAGGGCACTTTCTATTTCTTACTCTCTCATTCTGTCTTTTTTGGCAGTGTGCGCACAGATACCAGAGAGAGGTCAGCTAAGGGTTGATCTCGGGTAGTCCCAGGTGACATACAGTGAGCACTAAGTGTATCCAGAAGCACCTGAGGTTGTAAAAGAGAGGGCTCTGCAGGGAAAGAAGGAGAGAAGCTGCTCTCAACTGGAACAAAGTGGATCCTGTAACTCATTAAAGCAGTCTTAGGATCACAAAAGGTCAGTCAAATAGTGTCTTGTCCAGCAGTAGAGTATTGCTGTAGTGAGAATATGGCTCAAATGACCTAATGTTTGATTCATGCTCAATTAATTTAAATATTTCTGAGACGGCCTGTATTAAAGCAAATGACAGAGGTACTTTAGACATATAACAAAAACTAAGGACATTTCCTGAACACTTCTGTTAATTAGGCATGAGCCGGTATAAGTTTCTGACAGTATGATAACCTTGATAAAAATATCAGTTACCACGATGTTGTGAGTACTGCTCTAAAATAAGTTCTTTTTAATTGTCTGAGCAAAAAAAAAAACACTATATATTTTATTTTAGGAAAGATTTGAAATATTTTAGAACAGCAAACACATGTCAGGCTAAATAATTAAAATAAATCATTGCTATCTTCATTTGTTTCAAAACCACTGATTTCTTTACAACACATAAAAAAACCTTACATATCTCTTAGGAATGGTATAACAGATAATTATAGTGGTTTTAAAACCGGCTATCGTCCCATGCCTCTTTTTAATAAATCTTAATTTTTGCATACTAAATCGTTGACAGGTGAGTAGGGAGGTTGTTTCTGCAGAGTTAAAAAAATTGTAGTCTTATTTATTTCCATAGTTTATTTCCCTATGTATTTTTAAGTTTGTAACTTGTAATTATGACTTTATTTCTTGCCATTTTTCCACAATGCAACTGTGACTTTTTTCAAGTGTTACTTTATTTTCTTGCAATTCTGAGTTTATGGCCTTTCTCACAATCTTGTATTGTTCATGATGCTGACTTTGTTTAAAATTTGACATTTTTCTTGCAATCCTGCTTTTTTAAAAATAAGATTTACTTAATTTATAATTTATTTATAATTTATTAAAGGTTCAAACAGTTCAAACATCAAAAGTTTATTTCTTGGTATTCAGATTTTTTAAATCAATTTTATTTCTTGCAAATTTGACTTTATTTCTCAGAATTACACATTGATATCTTAAAATTATGTTCTCTTGCTGTCAAAAAATGTAATGATAAATTAAATGTATTAATTCATGTGCTTCCAATTTTATCTATACACTCTAAAAATGCTGGGTTATTTCAACCCACATTTGAGTGAAGTATAGACAAACCAATATGCTGTTTGTCTTTTTATATATTTATAAAGTTTTTATAATTTATAATGTTTAAAATTTATTAAGTACATAAAATGTATAATAATCTGGCATTTTAAGAGTATAAGCTTTCTTGAAATTGGCTCTCTTACAGATGTTTGGTTTGGTCACAAGTATTTTAAATATGATTTAACTGATCTGTTCACAGTGTACTTGTTCATGTTTACATCATTATTAGTGTTTTTTCCATGATGAACTGAAACTGTTCTTAATGCTACAAGTAAAGTTAGATAATGATGATATGTCTCATTTAAACTAAATCTATTTCTAGGGCAAGACTGTGGCTCTGTGGTTATCAGTCACCTCACAGCAAGAAAGTTGCTTGTTCGAGTGCCAGCTGGGTTAGTTGCCATTTCTGTGTGGAGTTTGCATGTTCTCCCTGTGTTCATGTGAGTTTCCTCTGGGTGCTCTGGTTTCCCACACAGTCTAAAGTCATGCTGCATGGGACCATAGTGTATGAGTGTGTGTGAATGAGTGTGTATGGATGTTTCCCAGTACTGGGTTGCATCTGGAAGGACATTTGCTGTATAAAACATATGCTGGATAAATTGGCGGTTCATTTTGCAGTTGCGACCCCTGATAAAGGAATGAATGAATCTATTTCTATATGAGCTTGCTGATTCAATTTAAAACCATCCAGCACAAAGTCTCTGTTGGAAACACAAATAGCCTTCACTACAGAATTGCTTAAGAAAGAGATACACTTACATACTAGAGAAAGAAAACTGGCACCTTCTCTTGTGTCCGTGATCAGACAGGCATGAAATCTACACTATATTGATCCTGGTGGCCCCAGTCATTTCACTTTAACCCATTTGAGAAGTGTTCATTCCAACGTACTTGAAGAAAATGACTCACTCATCCAGCCGAACCCACCGTGACGCTCCTGATCTGCAGAGAGCGAACATGAAGATCCATGACTAAAGGCAATCTCCATCACTGCAGATGGTATTACAGTCCAGAGTACAAAACCTGACAGCAAAGCCAACATCTTTCTAGCTCAGACTCCTTATTGATCTCCGGCCAGCATTTTTAGCCTCCTGAGAGCATCTGAACCAGCATAAAGAAGAGTATTGATGATATATTGATATGCATTCTTTTATTTACTTTGCCCATAAGGCCTTTCACCTCTTTCCTGACAAATCAATTGCACCTACAGCATGAAGCGCCTTTTCTGGGTCATAGGCTGCCATTCCTCGTTTGGTTTGAGAGCAGCTTTCAAGTTTGTCTTGTGACTGTCAGACTTGCTTATGCATGGGGATTTGTACTAAGGTCCTGATATAAGGTCAGTATAAAACCACAACATGGGGTTGTGAATCAACCGATTAAAAAGTAAACAAAATACTGGAACAGAATTATTTTCATGGCGCCAGTGACGATAAGACAGTGTACAAAAATACACTGAGTGTTTCCTTCATCGCTATTTAAAGGGACAGTTCACCCAAAACTAAAAAATTACTTAATATTTACTCTCCTTCAAATGGTTTCATTTGTTTATGAATCTTTTTTCTGCTGATCACAAAAGAAAATATTTCTTAAAATGTTAGAAAGCTGTTGACTTCCATAGTATAAAAAAAACAAATACTGTGAAATTCAATGGTTTCAGGCTTCCAACAGCTTTCAAAATAAAGGAAGAAATTCTTATCCTGGTTATATATGCTGTCAGCCCTCTCTTACAAAGCAAAAGAGGTCAGATTCATAGAAATGTGTATTTTACATTTAATCATTTATTTTCTTTTTGGCTTAGTCCCTTTATTAATCTGGGGTCGCCACAGTAGAATGAACCACCAACTTATCCAGCACTGTACTGTATGTCTTTGAACTATGGGGAAACCCATAGCACCAGGTGGAAACCCACGCAAACATGGGGAGAACATGCAAACTTCACACAGAAATGCCAACTGAACCAGTTGGGGCTCAAACCAGCGACCTTCTTGCTGTGAGGTGATAGTGCTACCATGGTGTAAAGACAGACTTGGGAAACTGTCTTCTTTACCTGATTTAAACCTTTTTTTAGGTAACGGGTTGATGGGAGGGAGAATAGGGTGTAAAATGTTTGCTGTGTCTACATGATTATTATTCTGTAACTGTGTAAACTGTTGTGATATGCAAGCTGAAACAAGTAATAAAGATGTTCAAGGCTGCACAGTGGCTTAGTGGTTAGCACTGTCGCCTCACAGCAAGTAGGGGCTGTGGAGTGTGCATGTTCTCCCCGTGTTTGCGTAGGTTTCTGGGTGCTCCAGTTTGCCTCACAGTACAAAGACATGCAGTATAGGAAAACTGAATACACTAAATTGGTCATAGTGTGTGAGTGTGTTTGTGTGTGATAGTGAGTGTATGGGGCTTTCTTAGTGCCGGGTTGCAGCTGGAAGGACTTACGCTGCATAAATCATATGCTGGAATAGTTGGCGGTTCATTCCGCTGGGATGACCCCTGATAAATAAGGTACTAAGCTGAAGGAAATTGAATGAATGAACTAATAAATGAATGAAATTCAAACAGGTTTGTGAAACAAGTAGATGCAGAAAGTATTTTCAGTTTTAGGTGGACTATGCCTTTAGGCAGTTTAGTAACACCAACTTACTTAATAATAACATTAATTGTTTTAACAGGTAAGCAAATTCAGTTGATTCCAATTAAGTAAAAAAATATTTGTTTGAGTGAAAGTTTGTTTAACAACTAATGACATTTCTTTAAACTTTAAAATAATAATATTATAAATTATTTTTTTTGTTTATATGTTTATATAATGTATTGGTAGACAACATAATAGCATAACATGCTTTACTTCAGAGGAGCTGAGAAAAAAATATTCTGATTTTCACATTTGCTATACTGACCTGTTGTCCTTTTCCTGAAAAACAGGTGAGTGATTCAAAACATTTTCTGAAAAATGATAGTATTTTTGTGTCACTTGGAAGAAATGTTTTCAGACTTTTATAGAATATAACAAATATTAATATTTTACTGAAAGCCATACCTAATAAATCCAGAGAAAGTAGAAATACATGGTAACACTTTAGTTTAGGTCACAAATATTGGTATTAACAAACCATTAACTAATACTAGTAATTAAATAAACTACTAATTAACCGTTTATTAATAGTTAGAAAAATAGTAGTTGGGTTTAGGTTTTGGGTAGGGTTAGGGATGTAGAAATAGATCCAACTTTATACATACTACTAAAAAGTTAATAATAGGCAGGTCATAATCCTGTAGTTAATAGCATGAATTTTGACCAGAACTAAAGTGTTACAAAATAAACGTATAATCTGGAATATCATCTTTCATTCTCTGTACATAATAAAAATAGACGAGTAAATAGTGCCATAAAGAAAGAGGCCCTGTTTGGGCACTGAGTGGGATTTAATTGACCATATGGGGGCGTCAGAGTTGAACTTTGACCCTACTCCCATCAACCTTCGGGAGCGCCCTAAAATGATATAATGAAAGGTGGGCCACCCGACAAGAAAGGATGATACAAATCATCACATGCACATACTATACTATCTGCATTTAAGGCAGCTCTAAAGCATTTCTCCAAGGATGCACATGAAAGAGTGTGTTTCTCATGCTTACCTATCTCCGATGAACAGCTCGTGTTTTGAGTCAGCTTAGCAGTTTGTCACTTGATTAGACTCCCCGCCATGGCACTTCTTTCCTTCATTGCCAACGTTTTCTCCCCCCGCTTTGCTCATGCATATGGAGAAGCTTAATTTAAAAGGACAACAGCACTGCCTTAAGATCTGTCGCAGAGAGACAACATAGACTGACACATGAGTGCAAAACAATGCAGGCCACTCGGTGTCCAGGGCAGCACTGAATGTGAAGGAGTGCAATAACGTTTGAAGATTAGTTTTATTCATTCATTCATTTTCTTGTCGGCTTAGTCCCTTAATAATCAGCGGTCACCACAGCGGAATGAACTGCCAACTTATCCAGCATGTGTTTTACACAGCAGATGCCCTTTTAGCTGCAACCCAACACTGGGAAACACCCATACACTCTTGCATCCACACACATACACTACGGCAAATTTAGTTTATTCAATTCACCTATGTTGCATGTCTTCAGACTGTGGGGGAAACTGGAACATACAGAGGAAATCTATGCCAACAGGGGAGAACATGCAAACTCCACACAGAAATGCCAACTGACCCACCCAGAACTCAAACTAGCGACCTTCTTGCTGTGAGGTGATCTCGCTGTAGAGTTCACTTAAAGGTGAAATGTGTCATTTTTGTATATTTTGATGTATAAATGATGTCTTGTCACAGTTTAGTGCGCAAACTGCTCAGAAAAAAAAGTTGTTAGTTTTGTAATTCTTTATCGTGTAAAAATCATACACTTAAAAGCTTTCAAATCCTGCATTCACAACCATTTTAGTCTTACTCAGTCATAGCATGCTGTATGGTTTACATGCTAATACTACGTTCAGTTTTTCAAATCAGAGATGGTTCCAAATTACGTATGTAAACTCACATTGTAAATGTGAAATGACTCTCAATACTCTCAAAAATATATTTATATAAAACATATTGTGGACACTTGACTACTTCCATCTCAAAATGACTCTTCACTATATGGAAGATAAAATAAGATATTTTGAAGAATGTTGGATTAATAACCAAGCAATTTTGGTTACTATTGACAATTAAAAACAATGTCAATGCAAGTCAAAGGAAAGAGAAACTATTTTCTTACCAGCATTCTTCAAAATCACTTCATTGCATGGAGAAGAACATGAAAAACCAAAAGGAACCAGATGATCATTTTTGGGTGGAATGTCAGTATGTTGGGCAGTATGGTGGTGCAGTGGGTAGCAAAACCACCTTACAGCAATAAGGTTGCTGGTTTGAGCCTTGGCTGGGTCAGCTGGCATTTCTGTGTAGAGTTTGTGTGTTCTTCCCGTGTAGGCGTGGGTTACCTCCGGGTGCTCCAGTTTCCCCCACAAGTCCAAAAACATGTGCATTCATTCATTCATTTTCTTTTTGGCTTAGTCCCTTTATTAATCCAGGGTTGCCACAGCGGAATGAACCGCCAACCTATTTTTATACAGCGGATGCCCTTCTAGCCGCAACCCATCTTTGGGAAACATCCACACACACTCATCCACACACACTCATACACTAAGGACAATTTAGCCTACCCAATTCACTTGTACCACATGTCTCTGAACTGTGGGGGAAACCGGAGCACACGGATTTTTTACCTGCGTAAAGACATGCCGGAGGAAACCCACGCAAACACAGGGAGAACATGCAAACTCCACACAGAAATGCCAACTGACCCAGCCGAGGCTCAAACCAAGCGACCTATCAACCTTCTTGCTGTGAGGTGACAGCACTACCTACTGTACTACTGTGCCACTGCGTCGTTGCTTTAGGTAAATTGGGTAAGCTAAATTGGCCGTAGTGTATGTGTGTGAATGAGTGTGTTTCCTAGTGATGGGTTGCAACTGAAAAGGCATCAGCTGTGTAAAACATATGCTGGATAAGTTGGTGGTTCATTCCGCTGTGGCGACCACAAATTAATAAAAGGGATTGAGCCAAAAAGAAAATGAATGAATGAATGTCAGTATGTCAGTCTCAGCATGTCATCAATCAATAACCAAAAATGTACATGTTTAATACTTTTCTTAAACATTAAATATTTTAGGCAGTACTTAACCTTTTATTCTTTTTTCTTCATTCAAACTCTTGTAAGTGGGTATTAGAGTGCAAGTCTTTTAACAAGAAATTGTTATACGTTAAGAGGATACTTGACAACCAAGAAACTTGGTAGACTTCAGGACTGTATGTGTGCAGGTGCGTGGCATTTCTTGACGAGTGAACACAACTACTTGCTTGATACTTGATGCTCAATGTGGTTAAATGTAAATCAGATGTTGCTGAGACTTATTTCAGTATGTTGATGTACTTCCAACTGAAAATGCAGATTGAGTAGGAGAGGGGCATCTTTATTTTCTTTTTTGCAGCAAACTAACATTAAGAGGGGCATAGTTAAGATTTTGATTTTGATATAATGCTATGAAAGCTCTCAAGTTGACATCAAATGAAAGACGGCCATTTCAAATGCAGAGGCAAAGGGTCAACAAATTTGACAGATTATTAATTGTCAGATTAATTATTTACCTCAAGAATAACAAAATAAACATTGTAAATTTTCATTTCACATAACATTAAGTTGTAGGATTATTTCTCATTTGTAAGTTCTTTGTATAAAAGCCTATGCTGCTATATGAATAATTTCCCCACACGTCAAATGTTGTTTCTCGTTAACTATTAACGTCTCATTGCTTTTTCTGTAAGAAACAAGACCTTTTCACTAATCTACTGCTCACAAATCTGCCGGCTAGTCTACATTTGGCCTACGGACGCCTGTTAACATGAATCTGAGAGTTTCAAGACAACATGAAGCTGTGCAACCTGAACACTGTTCTGTTCAGTGTCAGCCATTTCTGCCTTTGAGGGATTAGAGTGATGTCATCGGCAAGGTCTCAACCCTTTTTGCTGTCATCCCGGCTCAGGTCGCCTTTAAGTCCAATAGGCGAACCGTTTGCATGCACTATAATTCAGACTGTGACTTTGATGATAATAGCACTAATAATGGCCTGACAGTGACGGATGGGTGCAGGCAATTTGGGGGCCCGTGAAGTGACCCCCGGCCCAATCAAAGCACTTCCAGGTTAAATGTGACCCCAGGCAGCCGGCAAAAGGAGAAGCGCTGAATGGATGAAGGGGAAAAGGAAAAAGTGAGGGAGAGAAAGGGAAAAAGGTGAGGTGCTGAAGTGAGGAAACACTCCTCAGGATAATAAGTAATTGCAGCCATACTCCATTTCTTTTTCCGTTTGGATGCTTCTGCAAGACTCTAAGAGTAGAAACTCTGTCCGCTAACCACAGAGGCAGGAGCATTCTAATCCCTGGAGCTACACCCCAAATTCTGCCGCCTTGCCAAAACCTTTCGCTTTCACAACTCAAGTCTTTGGCTGCAAATGCAGTTCTCTTAATCAGTCCAAACACCTCCCCGGGCAGCAGTGGGAATGCTTGGCCAGGCCATGTGTTAGACATTAAACGCAATCAGTGACGGCGCTTTTTTGAGTGCTGGAGAGATTGAGAGGAAGGGAGATCCAGGTTGATAAATAGCAGAGCCACTCAAATGCCCGTCTGTTCACGGGGAGTCTGGGTAATCAAACCGAGGCCTGTTTGCTTTATTTATGTCGCATGTCAGAACGAGAGATTTATCGTTATTGCGAGGCAGCTCTTGATTAGTGAGGAGAATGTGGGAAGCTAACCTGGAAAACCTCCACTGCCGTTTAACGTCGTCTTGTTGGGATGAGCACAAACCGAACAATAGATGCATGCTGGTAAAGATGGAGAAGTGACAGGGATTAAGCGTTCTTTGTGGCGACGGCAATTCTGGGCGCAGCATTCTCTCGTGATTACTGTAGGAAAGTGCTCTCCAACTCTGTTCAAAAACAACTAACATCTGATTGCCATTCATTCTTTAGCGGTATCATCTGCAGATGGGAACTGACACCAAAGACAACACGAGCTATGGAAATGATTAAGCAAGACCTCCACAGCAAATAGCTTGGTTATGCAGCACTATAATTTCAATTTCCTTCGCAAACAACTGTTTCAATATAGCCTGGACAAACCAAATAAACACTTCTGACGTACTTACGGTTTCTTGAGACATATAACCTTTTATCTTTGCCTGCCAGAAACAAGCAGCATGTTAGGAATTAGCACAAGGTTCTTCCCTCTAGGTCAACACCGTTCCTTGCCGTTCCTGTACTTTTCCATTAATCCTCCTCCATCTCCCTTAATCATAGCACTGGCCTGGTGACTTGAGAGGCGCCAAGTAACACGCAACCTGTCAGATCCAGCAAGGGAAAAATGAATTAAGTCCAGAGGGTAAAGTTGGGACGGAGAGAAGTGTGAGTGGGCCGAGTATTGAGCCCTGGGGCACATCGAAAGTCATAACTCAAAGCTTAGGTACCGTGGCCCGCCTGAGGAGTTACCGTCTGCCAATTGATTTAGTGTCATCTGAGGTCCTGGCCGCCTCTTACGATTATGTGCCTTATTAAGTGATTCTGTGAGCATGACAGCTTTAGGATATTAGGTGGTACTTTCTGTGGCCTTTTTCTAAGTATATGAATCGCCTGCTTTTATTAGTCTGAAGGACACTGCTTCTCAATCCTGGACCGATGGTCCATCTTTTCTATATACAGTAGTACTAACTATAACCACGCAAGTTGGAATAAAATACCTCAATCTTCCATGAAGCATGGTTGCTTTATAACATCGCCAGTTTTAACATTCTGAGGTCACAACACTCAGGACATCAGCGTTTCTAAAAAAGTGAAACGCAAATATTTTACTACCAAAACATGCCGTAAGACCAAGTGAGCGTGTTTCCTTTAGAAGGACATTTCCTCTGGATAGTGTTTATTTTCTTTCACCTTTGTTTGAGGGAAAGGTTATTCAAACATATATAAAAGAATGATTTTTGTTTGATGTGTGTATATCTGTGCCTGTGTAGATGTTTATGTGTGTGCAAAGAAGCCAAAATTGTGGGTTAAATATTGTCGTAGACATTCATTAGCCAAGTGCAACAAGTACAGGGGACTTTTGACCAAAGTTACTGCAGGATTATTTTATCAGAAATCACATACACAGAGTTCCCAGAACTCACCAGGAGAAATCTCTTCATCCTCCATGTTGGATAAAATTCCTGAAGCACAAGAGATGCTATTTACCATGACTCCAGGGCTTCATGCATTACTGGAAATAGACAAAGAGAAAACCCAAAAAAAGTTTAAGTCAGTAATGCCAGTACATTTCCAAAAAACTATTTTCCTTAAATGTTAAAGGGTTTAATGGGCAAAACATTCTTTTCATTTCTGTATTTTTTTTTGAACATCTCTTAAAAGACAATTTTTTGTTTTAAATCAACTGGGCACAAATGCAGAATTAAATTCTGTACCATGTGCCAGAATTAGCCACACCCCAAGGAGGTGTATTGAGACTGACAACAACAAAGAGTTATGAAATTAAAGCTATTCATAAGATAACACAATTTGGGAGTGCACCTCATGTCATGGATTACAAATCTCTTCAGTTATTATTTAAATTTATCAGATTATATAAGATGAATGTATTAATCTGTTTTTGTGTGGGTGTGTGCAGTTGAAGTCAGAATTATTAGCACCCCTTTTAATTTTTTTTTCTTTTTTAAATATTTTTAAATTATATTTAACGGAGCAAGGAAATTTTTCACAGAGTATGTCTGACAATATTTTTTCTTCTGGAGAAAGTCTCATTTGTTTTATATCGGCTAGAATAAAAGCAGTTTTAAATTTTTTGAAAGCTATTTTTTAAGTCTTTTTTTAAATAAGTCTTTTTTTTCATAACCACACTTTTTTATTTATTTATTCATTAATTTGTTTTGGATTAGTCCCTTTATTAATCAGAGGTGACCACAGCGGAATCAACTGCCACCACACTTTTTGATTTACCAAAAATGTCCAAAAATAGTTTTACATTTCCTTAATCTAAATCTTTAGGAACCCCTCCTAGCTACGGGTCTGCACAGAAGAGTATAGTAATACTGCAGAAATTTCTGCAGTGCTATTAAATTAATAAGATTTACATAAAAACACACCAATCAAATATTTTAAAAGAATTATAAATACTGCGGAGTTCAAAACATAAAAGAAACTCAAAGTTTTGCAATTTCTCCACAATACTTAAATTATGTTTCTGCATCCTGATTTCACCCTCAGTTAAAATTTGAAATATTGGGCAGTAAAACAGGCACTCTCAATAAAACTGACTGGATTTGTATTTCCAACATTTTACCTTTAACCATCATTTCAATCTCCACACTCAACAAGAACCCCAAACACCAAAAATGAAACTTTATTACAGCCTGTAATCATTCCACAAAGAGAACATTCAAAACAAAGTGAGCTGAGAAATGTTCACCCATATATTTCCAGGGTCAGGACTGTGAACCTTTAGTCAAGGGTATTTACTGCTGAATCTTTGTGCCAAGGGACTCTGACAACATGGCATTATGCGCAATTTATGTCAGCCTTGGTTTTGTGTGTGTGTTTATGTGCCAGAGTGTGTGTGAAAAAGAGTGTGACAGAGATTGCATTCATATGTATGACCTTCCTCTTTAGAGGCACCATCAAAGATCAGAGTCAGTGTTGACAGAGATATTTCTCCCATGCATTGCAGCGGTGAGGGCTGCTGTCTAAATGCTTACTCACCAGGCGCCGACTGCTCAGGCCGCCAGCAGAGCCAGTCGGTGGCCCTGAATGCCCTTTTGCTGACTAGACTCTAGCAGCCAATAAATGGAGCTGTCACTCCTGTCAATCTTGCTTTCTGTGACACAATCACCCTATCACGCCCACACATGCCGTCCTGCCCGCCTCAATTATGGCCCTAAAAGGACGGCTATCTCCGACAGCCCTGCCTCCTATATGACGAACTGCAAAAATGGCCAATCATCTTATTCTCCACCCTGAGTTTGAGAGAGAGAGAGAGAGAGAGAGAGAGAGAGGGAGAGAGAGAGAGAGAGAGACTGACTTTATGCCATTTTTAAAAATGTTTTGCTTAACAAATTATTATTTATTTCACTGCAAAATTATGCTTTTGAACAAATCACATAATTACTTTTCCACCTATGCCATATTCTGCTAAATTTTTATAAATACAAAACATCCAGTGACATTTCACCATACTTAACAACAAAATCAACAATGCAGAAGTTGACTGATGGACAACAAATATAACAACTGAAAAAGTAAGTGATGTAGAACTCACACAGCCTTGTACCTTCAGATTCCAAATTCTTGTGGTGTCATGAAGAACCAGAACATGAGGAAAGGCAAACCAGTAAAAAGCCTCAGTCTTTTCTGCATCTTGATGCTCCATCGCCCTCTTCTGGTTGCAAGGTTGATGCACAAGACTTGCTGTGAAATCAGAACATGATCATAAAGCTACCACACTATTAAATGTGTGATTTTTTTGTGATATTAGGCAATCAATATTTTAAAATGCGATCATAATAAAATAATTTATTTGATAGCTATTCATTATATAACAATCAAGTTAACTTTTTTACATTAACAACATTAGTCCTATTTTGTCATTTAACTACTACAATACATTCAAATTATCCTTTTAGAAGTTCTAAGCTAACATATTATACATTTATGTTACATGATCCTTCAGAATTTATTGTATTATTATTATTTTATTCTCAAAATACATGCAATTTGTGAAAGTGAATCTATGTTATTAACTTTTGTGTGAAATAAATAAATTCATTAAGTTCATTTATATATAGTTATAAAAGGTTACCCTTGAAATATGACCTTCAACAGCTGGATTTTAGACTTTTAACTTTAACTTTTAACTGTATTGCCTACCCTATATTAACTATAGAAAATGTGAATACGGTATGAGTGTGAATGAGAGTGTATTGATGTTTCCCAATGATGGGTTGCAGCTGGAAGGGCATCCGCTGTGTAAAACATATGCTGGATAAGCTGGCGGTTCACTGCATGGTGGCAACCCCTGATCAATAAAGGGACTAAGCTGAAAAGAAAAAGAATGAATGAAAATGTAAATACACTTCATTGGTATGAATCAAAAATATTAGGGCTACTTAGCTAATAATGGCATATAATAATAAAATATATAAACATCTTTATTTACATTTACAGCATTTGTCAGTCGTTTACGTTTGAGTAAAACAACCCTTAGTAAAATTAACTGACCACAATTTTACAAATAAATAAAAAAACATAGTATCCACAACCATGGGGTTTCAGTAGTTAACCATTTGAGTAGCAAATTGGTAGACATCTGTCTTAAAGAATTAAACATTTAGCTATAAGAATTTTACTATAAAACCTTGGTTACTTTTTGTAAGGGATTTAACCTTTCTTTCTGGTTGGCTTTATACCGCTGTCATCTGCTGGAATCTGGACGTACACAACTATGACCGCGGCCTACTGTTTCTGCTTGAAAACGCTTATCATTTGTTTCTCCAAACTACCTCGCCTACACACTTTCCCTCTTGATTACTTCCCTGCTGACTTTATACTTTGTGAAAGCTTTCCATTCTATCAGTCTTCTCATATATTCAGGGGCCTGTCGCCGTGTTTACCCTTGGTGGGGATAAATCGTGTTTTTTTTTCCTTTCCCGCGCTTAAGTCCCGCGCCGAGTACGAGAGTTCTGAATGGCGCGACGGTTTATTTGTTTAGGAGAGCGGCATTTATTTTCCGCATGCTCTGTTTGGGCAGATGGCGGGTCTCGCTGCGCCAAGTGGACCCGGTGTTTATTTGAAATAGGGCGTGCGGCACGCGAGGGTATTGAGGAGCCCCGCGGACCATGTGTTCCTCTGTGCGCCCTGATTGGGAGACGCGGAGTTGGCAGGCGACCTGACGAGAAACAGGAGACAAAATGGCGGGCCGTTTCTCTCTGTGAGCTCAGGCCTTCCATACGGCGTTGGATCTGGTTTAAAAGCGCCTGGTTTCATGGATGAATTAATTTCATGAGATCTTGAAATCCAGCACTACACATATTTCAATATGATTTTAAGGATATATGACAGATACTTATGATAGTTAAACAGGCCTTACAAAGTACACCCATTTAGTTTTCCAAGAAACGCCTAATTAAAATAGTTAATTTTACGTTAACAAAACAATTTTCCTTTTTTTAAGTAGATAGAGTAATGGTTATGTTGTGGCAAAACTTACAGAATCATCAATGTGATGATCATTTGATTTATTAGCCAAAATATTCTGAAATAAGATGTCATCAGTTACTTTACCTCCACATCAGATTTCTCTTTAATTTTGCTTTGTCGTATGTATTCTTTAGTTTTACTGTGTTCATTTATTTTGTAGATTAAAAGTTAAACACTGTGTACCTTTGAAGAATGAAGTAGCTACTTGTTTTTTCCACAAGATTCACAATCTATTTGTTTAATTATAAATGCAACGTAGGCTAATGTGTTTTAAACCAAAATCTTGGCCCTAAAAACTGAACACTTTCTTTTGTGTGAAGGGTCCACACAATGATTGACAGCAGACATTAAATTAGCCACACCCCCACAGGTTTAGCCCTGCCCTGCATTTGTGAACGTCATTTCTACTAGGAACCAATCAGTAAAATGACAATCCATCAATGTCAGCTCTTTGGCCAATTAGAGAGAATATGCTAAACAGCTGCTAGCCAATCACGCCCAGTGTATTCACTCAGTCTTCTATATAGGCAGCAACCCCTTGCTGTGCTGCATGATTTGTCTGAAAATGTGAGCGAGCAAACAGTTCAGTGGTTTGTTCTGTAGATCTGCTGGTTGTGGATTTTATCTCCTGCAACTGAAAACCAAAGGAATTATTTCAGATTACTTAACTGCGATGTGAGGCTTGTCGTGGCTGGCTGATTTAAACAACTCAATCGAGTCAAAATCACACATATCACCTAAAAAAGCTTCCTAACTCTTAGTGCAAGAGTGTGGGAAAACTCACTAATGACAGGCATTTATTTTTTTAATCACCCCAGTCCATCATTCCCTAAAATCTATGGCGTCTCTTTCACATATTCTTTCACTCACTCAAAGTTATTCATCTTCACATATTCCAAACAGACCAACATTTTGTACTGTCAAGCATGACAACTTCACCAACGAGTGAAATATGAGGAACAGTTCAAAGGTCTCACCATGTGCCAACTGGCTCGTATGTATAAGAAAAAGTAATGTGACATCTACATGGTTGCCTGCATTTCCCATATGCCACTTCTGCCCAATTAAGGGTGGCCATGTGACCAATCAGTGTTTCAGAACTGAACTCCCTCATAAATCATTGATCGGCTTTATGTTTTGATCAATATCACAAGCTCTTATCTGTCTAAAGATTACTTTTATGATTATTTTATTTATAGAGAATGCACACTGTGATATGTGATTCATCAATTTTAATACTTTTTAAGATACTTCTTTTACTTTGTCAAGTAAAGGTTATCCAGAATTAAATAGAGGAAGCGAATTTTGTTTTAGTGAGAAAGAACATTCATTCATTCATTCATTCATTCATTCATTTTCTTGTCGACTTAGTCCCTTTATTATTACGGGGTTGCCACAGCGGAATTAACCGCCAACTTATCCAGCACGTTTTTACGCAGTGGATGCCCTTCCAGCCGCAACCCATCTCTGGGAAAGAGAAAGAACATTTATAATAAAAATGTAACTCTTTTAACAACAATAGGGATAATAAAATCAACTGGAAATTAATCCAAAATCTACTCAACATAATTATTACTGATTATAATTTACATGATGAAAATTATTGTGATTAGTCATGTCCTTTTATTTAAAAATGTATATGAATTTCATTCATTTTCCTTCGGCTTGCTTTATTCATCGCGGGTTGCCACAGTGGAATGAACCGCCAACTTATCCAGCATATGTTTTACACAGCAGATGCCCTTCCAGTTGCAACCTAGTACTGGGAAGCATCTATACGCACTCATTCACACACATACACTAAGGCTAATTTAATTTCCCCAATTCACATATACTGCATGTCTTTGGACTGTGGGAGGAGCACCGGGTGGAAACCCAAGCGAACATGAGGAGAACATGCAAACTCCACACAGAAATGCCAACTGACCCAGCCGGGACTCAAACTAGCAACCTTCTTGCTGTGAAGCGACAGTTCTAACCACTGAGCCACATTATTTGCATTAATTTATTTTCAACAAATACATTTTTTGTATATCTGAACATAATACAGACCTAACTGAACAATTAAATATTTTGTGACCATTAGCCAAGATCAAAGAACTGTAAATAAACAAATGTGTTGTTAAATTATTGAAAGTTTAACTTTAAAGTTCAGGACATCCTCAAGATTTGTCTTAGACTGCTCATCACATAGACAAATATTAATAAAAATGAAAACAGCAATGAGGGCGGCACAGTGACTCAGTAGTTAGCACTGTCACCTCACAGCAAGGTCACTGGTTCAAGTCTTGGCTAGGTCAGTTGGAATTTCTGTGTGGAGTTTTACATGTTCTCCCCGTGTTGGCATGGGTTTTCTCCGGGTGCTCCAGTTTCCCCCACATGTTCAAAGACATGCACTATCTGTGAATTAAACTAAATTGGACGTAGTGTATTTTTGTGAATGTGAAAACGTACAAATGTTACAGGGTTGCAGCTGGAAGGGCATCTGTGTAAAAAATATGCTGGATAAGTTGGCCCCTGATGAATAAAGGGACCAAGCCAAAGAAAAATGAATATATGAAAACAGCAATGACATGGCCAAAGTTATTCATATTTAAAATATTATTCAAAAGATTACATCAGCAGAATTTGGTAACTTGTATATTAATTTCACACATTATATCACTGATTGACTACGCTTTTGTCCCCAAATTTACAAGCATGGATGGAAAACTAATTTACATAATATTTGCATGGCCATGTTGTAAATATTCAATTCCCAATTGATAATCATGTAATCCAAAAAGTGTAACTGTAATCTTATTGTATTTTACAATACCAAATGTAATCTACTTACCAGCACAACATTTAATTTGGTTACATAATACCTGATTATGTAAAACAGAATAACAGATTATATGGAATTAGTTGCTGCCCAGCCTTCATTATAGCTACTGCACAGACAAACACACACACAAACACATATACAATCTGGTACAGCTATCTTTTTGGAGACTTCCCCCACTTAATGATTTTATCCTGTATTACTTCAATGCTACCCCTAAAACACAACCCTTACAGGAAACAATCTGCATTTTTACATTTTCTACTTACTTTATTTTATGTGATTTATAATCTGTTTTCCTCACAGGAACCAAAACAGTGTGTGTATGTCTTTTATTCGTTAGCCTATAGTTTTAAGTATATTTAATATATATTATTCACTGCCAACTTATACAGCAGATGATTTTTTACACAGCGGAAGTCCTTCCAGCTGCAACCCATCACGGGGAAACATACACACTCATTTACACACACACTCATACACTATGGTCAATTTTAGCATACTTTATTCACCTGTACCACATGTCTTTGGACTTGTGGGGGAAACCGGAGCACCCGGAGGAAATCCACACGAACACGGGGAGAACATGCAAACTCCACACAGAACTGTTAAATGACCCAGCTGAGGCTCGATCCAGTGACCTTTTTGCTGTAAGGCGAACATGCTACCCACTGCATCGCCCCTCTCTATGAATTATTATTTTTTTTTAATTAACAAGTGCTAAAGTGTAAATATGAGTTAAGAAAAAAATGTTAGGCGAGTTGACAGAATTATATTGATAAAAGATATTATATGCCAGAGCAATAAGTTTATCAAGCTTCACTTTAATCAATAGGTGAAGTTTTTTTCCTCGCCACTGACTTGCTTGGTTTGGGACTTGTGGAGCTGCGCATTAATGAATTTGCTCTTCAGTGTTTGGACTTTCAGCAGTGAAAATTAAACCACACTGAACTGAACTGAACTGAACTGTAACTCTGAAAACTGGATTGACAGTTTCAATTTAATAGAACTTCTATGTTAAGCTGCTTTGACACAATCTACATTGTAAAAGCGCTACAGAAATCAACCAAAATGAATTGAACAAATGTTCAGTAGTTTTAGGACAAGTCTGATGAATGATCCACTTCAAATGTTGACTAGTATATAGTTCAGGTAAATTACAGGTTATATAGTTGGGATTATTTAATTAGGATATCAATCTAGACATGACATGGCCAGTATTTGCCTTTAATCAATGCAGCTTTTGGCGAAAAAGAAATGCCTTCAATGAAAAAAAACAACTACAAATCTATCCAGCTTTTTGAAAGTTATACTTTTATACCTTTTACTAACATCTTTACTTTCAGTACCTTATATGCACCTTTAAGGTACCAATATGGATCCTATATAAACCTTTGAAACTACTCTTTACACCCACTTTCCTCACAGTGTGCAGATGACTTGATTAAAAGCTGTGTGATGCCTAGTTCTACTTTTTTGTCAATCAATATGGAGCTTCAGAATACTTGCTTAAAAATGTTGGGTTGTTGTAACCCAACAACATTTGGCCAAACATGGACAAATCCAAACAGTTGAATTAAAAGGTGTCTTTTGAATTCAGTTTAACCCAAACCTGTCATGTCATTTATCATTTAACGCGTAAATACTGTTGGCAAAACAGTCGCATGGTAAAAATCAGAAATATGTGTTGAAATTTTACCAAGGTGAAGTCCTCGAGGAAGTGTGCGTGCAGTCATCATGACCTCGCGGAGAGCTGATTTTGGCGACGTCGCGTGTCTCTGTCCCACGAAGAGACCCGTGACAGATGACGTGACGCTCTTTCATCAGGCGATTGAGCACTTTGAAGCGCTTTTTGCGAGCAGCTGCGAACGGTCTGAAATCTATTAACACCCGCTACTCTCTAAAAAACACACTTCCTGGGGATGAGAAGATGCTGCGACACGTGTGTCCCGCGCTCGCAGTTTGACCTCTCTGTATAATCACGCACAGGAAACATATGAGGCTACAAATGATGGAATTCTGCGAGTGATCAAGACACATCCATGTTTAGGAGGATGGCTTGGTTTCTCATCGTCCTGGCTATGAGCTGGAGTAACTAGTCTCTCTGTGCAAGATTATTTATTTATTTATTTATTTATTTATTTATTTATTTATTTTACATGTAAACCTAGACAAGTCACCTTTGATTAAATAAGAACATATTATCTGGTCTTATTTTAAGATCAATTTAATTTGCCCATAGGTGTCTCCCTTATGTAGTCAGCAAATTGTATTTTTCAAGAGGATATGTAGATTTCCGTTTGTCCACTAGATGGAGCTATTAGTGCGACAGACACATCCCAATCCTGCATTAGTCATTATTTTTTGGAATGAACGATATATTTAAGATATTTAAGGTCCTTGTTGAGGCGGTCATTGGTCACATACAGTGGAAGTCCAACTTTTCACATCAGCTAATTCGTGCATTTTCTCTCATTGCCACTGAACTACATATTTAAGAAAATAAAGGCAATAGATGTTTTAATTAGCTCTTCTTTTTTGCACTATACCAGTTTTTAAAGTTTATTTCAGATTAATACCATAAAGGAGATAATAAAATTAAATAATTAATAACTGAATTAATACATTTATTTAAAATAAATAACATTTTATAAATAAGCATTTTATGAAGCTAAATGAACACAATATTACGGAAACAAACTCATTAAAATGAATTAAAGTAGCCTAATAAAATATTATATAAAATATAATAGGCAAAATTATATTATAAAATAATTATAAAAACATAGAGTACATTTACATAAATACATAAAGACAAAATAAAATACTGTTTTTTGATAATATTTACAACGTAAGTTTGAATAAATGGTAAAACTAGCCAAAATTAATTAACTTTAACAGTTATATTTTTGTCATAAAATGTATTATAATCAATATTAACCTAACTGCAGTTTAATTTAATCATCTAACAGTTGAAATGAACAAACTTATCAGTGTTAATAATATCAGTGTTTTTATAATTAGAGCTGACTGTTAGAAAGCTATGGGTTTTACATAAGAATGTAATTTCATTTTTTTTATTTTATATATATATATATATATATATATATATATATATATATATATATATATATATATATATATATATATATATACTGTTGCTTTTGTATATAAAGAAGTAAGTAAAATGGTGAAGGCACATCGATAGGCTATGGGTCAGGTAGCCTATATGCATAAACTAAACACAAGAAGTGGGAGATGAAAGGGAAAAAGCTAACAGCCATACAACGGCAAGAGAACAAACACAGATATGAAAAGGCTGTAAGAATGTAACCAGTCAGCACCAGAGCTTATCAACCTACACATCTTTTCATGATGACACATCCCTCTCTCCAGTACTGCTATTTCTGTTAGCATGTTTCACAATTGTTTGTAGCCGAAATAAATACAAAAATAAAACGACGTTATAAAAATAAAACGGTCATGACATCCACTATGTGGAAGCTTCAAACCCATAGCCTATAGAAACATAGATCTGCCTATGAAGATATTTCTGAGATAATAGTCTAACATAATTTAGTATCTTTATTGTCTTTATATATATATATATATATATATATATATATATATATATATATATATATATATATATATATATATATATATATGCGATTGGAAATAGGCTTATTATGATTAATTTAATTTCTTCCGTTTAAAGCATTATGCTTATAAACAGATGATTACCATGCCACAATTTTTTTTGCATATTTGTTTTGTTTTTTTTCTAACACCGCATGCACTTTACCCATTTTTTAAATAATGACATTATTATATAAACAAGCAGGAATCTACTGCTTCCCCAGCGATTTCACCTCAAATAATTCAATGCTATATGCTCCAACAATTTTTTTTCAACACAACCAACTTTAATTCATTTTATTTTTTTCTTTAATTTGGAAATTATTTTCCCTTTACTAATTATCAGCTAGGCTATTATTAAGCTATAGGCCTATTTATCACCTTTATCATTACACCACGTATTGCCACATAGGCTATTACAGAATAGGTGGTTAACTACTATATAAACAATGATGTTAAAAATACTGATTTTGTAAATTATGTTAACGGTATCAAACTTGTAATCAGTATAGCCTAATGTATCGGCTAAATCATTATTCGTTATTATTTTAATCGTAAAGCCTACACTTTAAAATATCCTTAAATTAGCAGTTTTACGTATTTTAAGATTCCTGTTTTTCTCCATTTATTTATGCTTTTGAATTGCATTATGTGAGCTTTAGCTTTCTATCATCAACTTTTAACATTGAAAAGTTCGAAAATGTAACTTTTAAGAAAAGTGTTACTTTGTTGTAACAGTGTAGCTCTTGTTGACTCTAAAACTGTTCGTTGACAGATATTTGTTACAGTGTCGCTCTACTTGACTAAATAATTTGTCAGATATTTGTTCAAGTGTCGCTCTTGACTAAATAATTGTAATTTATTTGTTACAGTGTCGCTCTTGTATATTCTAAAATTTCAAAAAAGAAAAAAATGAAATGCCCTCTTTGAAAATTTAAATGTACAAAATGTAGCCCAATTAAAACGACTATTTGATTAATGTTAGTCGGTTGCTATTAAAACTATAATAACTATTAACCTTGTCTGTAGCTTGTTTTAAACAGAAAATAACCCATATATCTATTACAAGACTTTAAATAAATACAACTAGTTCTACTTGATCTGGATAAATAATCAGTGCAATACAGATCTGCTTCGACAGGCACCGACTGTCTGTATTGATGAATTCCGAACAGAAAGAGTTCAATATGATTGGCTACTGAACGCTCCTGTTTAAAACCATATTTTATAAGTCTCCACCCACCTTTATGGATTGTGACCAATCACTTTTTGAAGACTCAACAGTAGACGCCCATTCATTTGGTCATGGAGGTGGAGACTCGGCTTTGAAAATGTCATTGGCCCTCAGTGACCAATGACAGACCTAGCCACACCCTCTCGAGATTAACACTAAATATATGAAAATCTATGCAGAATATTAATGAGGGAACAATATGATTGGTTCACAGTAACTATTCTCTCACCAATAAACAAGCAGCAAAGCTGTCGCGCTTGTAGTACAAACTCAAATAGACACAAAGGACCAAACAAATGCTATAAAACACATTTATTAGTTTGTAATAACACTTTCGTTCACAATAGGTTTCCTGAAACCATGGTTTAAAGAAAATAAACAAATCCAGGGCATATAAATAGTTTATTTCACTAGAGAAAATTCTAGCAAATATTCTTGTTTTTATGCAAATGTTTTGTCAGTTTGTATCGCCAAAGACTTTTATTTCAATTAAAATGCCATATACTTTAATTTTTTCATAAGTGTATTACACGTAGGCTAGTGTTTTCACTGAAAAACGCCCTGGTTGCCTTAATTTTTAAGTTGAATCAAATTAACCGTGTGAGTTTGAACTTGTATTATGTTAAACTGACCTAAAACAGCTTGCGTAACGTATAAAATTTAGTTAGAACATGATTAACTTAGTTTAATAAGTTAGAACAAACTAAAAACATTTGCTGTCAGGACTAATTGATCATATATTTTTTACAGTGTTGCCTTAAATATTACAATGGAGTATATAGCTAATAATAATTCATTCATTTTCTTGTCTTAAGTCCCTTTAATAATCCGGGGTCGCGACAGCGGAATGAACCGCCAACTTATCCAGCACGTTTTTACGCAGCGGATGCCCTTCCAGTCGCAACCCATCTCTGGGAAACATCCACACACACACACACACACACACACACACACACACACACACACACACACACACACACACACACACACACACACACACAATTTAGCCTACCCAATTCACCTGTACCGCATGTCTTTGGACTGTGGGGAACCTGGAGCACCCGAAGGAAACCCAGGCGAACGCAGGGAGAACATGCAAACTCCACACAGAAGGTTCGACCCAGCGACCTTCTTACTGTGAGACGACAGCACTACCTACTGGGCCACTGCATCGCCATGATGATGATGATGATGATGATGATGATGATGATAATATTAATAATAATAATAATAATGATTCTAGTAAATTTTTAATATTGCCTGTTTCTCATTTTAAGAAAAATTGCTAATATTAAGGTTGTAGGCAGAACTCTGATTTGTGTATAACATTTTTGACAAAAGGTAAGAGCAATGTTGACTTATAACAAAATGACAAAGGAGTAAACAAGAGGTTTATACAATCATATTTGTGATCATAAAAAAATCACAACCCAATGCTTAATAAACTTATAACCTCCAAACACCACAGCTGTAGGCCTATCAATATTTGCAAATGTTTAGAAACAACGAAATTGCAACTTCTTTGGACAAATTCAAGCATATGTGTAGCTGTTAGTGAATATACCTTTGCATTTAATAAAAAAAAAAAAAACCTAAAGCAGAAATGACCTAATTTACTCTGACACAAAATATAAATATCTTATATGAAACCTGAGACACAAGTGCCCCTTACGTGCTACTTCAATAATTAAATTACATCTCATTCAAAATAACAATGAAAATCCCTTTCAATTATTTACAGATTCTTTCAAGTCAGGGGAAGTTTGTGTTTCTAACTTATTTTAGAATTGACCACTTGATCTGCTCCTTTGCCGACTGTAACACCTAAAAAACGAAAGAAAAAAAAGAGTTTCAGTAAACAAGATTGATAAGCTTTATTAGACCAAAGAGAAATAAATATATGTTTAAAAAAACAATTTAAAATGCAATATAATGTGCTATGTAAAATGATATTCATCTAATATGTCTTGTATTTAATATGTATTTATTTAACATAATTAGAATATAATAAATGTATCTTAAAATAAAAAACAAGCATAATAACCACAATAGTGCAATAATGAAGTGTGTGAAATACGAAATATTAATATTAATATGAAATATGAAAATGCTAATAATTTACCCAGGCCATGCAAGAGTAAGGTGACTTATTTATTTAGTATCCTCTACAGAAGAAGAAGATTTTAGCTAAAACTTTGACGATTCATAAAACAAGCATTGTCTGGCTCTCAACAAACATTTGACTCTCAAAGTAACATGTGTTTTTATGAATCACAATGGTTACAGCAAAAAAAAAATGAAGAAAAAAAGTTAATTGACCTGCATGGTAAAAAAACAAAACAAAGGCTGGGTTTTTTTAACACAATTTTGTGTAAAATATTGAAAAACTCAGCCATTAGATTAATAAAGATATTGTCCATATTTTAAAACGTGATCAGCATATTTAACATCTGGGTGAAGTGAAACGGTTTAATGATGTTAACAATTCATACTTCGGCCACAAGGGGGCATCTGAAGACCACAATATTAAACGGAAAACTAGTTTCTTCGATTTCAATGAGCGGTTCTGTCCTTTAGAATAGAATAGAATAGAATAGAATAGAATAGAATAGAATAGAATAGAATAGAATAGAATAGAATAGAATAGAATAGAATAGGCCAGATTAGAACAGAATAGACCAAAATGAAAATAAAATGAAATAAAATAAAATAGAGCTTTCACTGTTTTGAGAATTATAGACTGCAAAAAAGCTCAAACGTTTTGGCATAAAAGACAAACAAATGGTTGCAATTAAAAAAAAAACAATGAACATAAATGGAATTTCCAGTCTTTCTTTTTGGGGAAAACTTATTTTATACCTAAATTTATAAAAACTAAGTTAACTTAATTCCTTTATGTTGTCCCAACACAAATCGATTGTGTGGAAGCCAGCATTTTTACAGTGCATGTTAAAATATATACAATGGTTAGTTTAAAGATATTCTAGGCAAATTGATCAAATATAGCAATGCTTAGTACAACATGCGTGGTGTACACTGCACTGTATATCAGGGTATGTTGATATGAAACATAAGTGTAACAGTATAATCTTTTTTTAAACATACAAATTTATCATTTAAGTTAATTTCTAAGTAGGCCGACACAGAATCTGCCAGATCATTGAGTCTATCATTCAATCTATTTATTTACTTATGTAGATGTAAATGTATTTATTCAATTTTCTATATTAATGTCAGTGATATTATTACTATTATTATAATACAATACCATTCATAAAGAAATATTTATTGTCTAGTTGATGTATTATATGAGATTTACATTATTTACCAAACAAGTCGATCTAATTGGATTGCAATGTAAACCTTAAATAAAAGTCATTTTTTAGCGTTTAGTTTAAAGAGATTTTTAAGAGCTTTAAAGCACACACACAAACACATGCACGCACGCATGCGCGCACACACACACACACACGCACGTCTATTTGTTATTTGTTCATGCACTTACATTAGTGGTGAGAGCCAGTTTCTCAGTGATGTGCTGTTAGGGTTAGAGTTGGTGTAAGAGGTCAGAGCAGAACTAAAATCACTACAGCCGTTAATGATGGTTAGACAGAAAGCCAAACAAGTCTAAACAAAGCTTTAAAATCATTCACATTAAAGAAGCAAGAAACCTTTCAAGCCTAATTGTAAGTGTGTGTGTGTGTGTGTGTGTTTGTGTGTGTGTGTGTGTGTATGTATACCTGCGCCACACTCTGTTCTGATAGAGGGTTGTCATCTGCCTGTGAAAGAACCAACATCAAGAACGATCAATATAAAAAAGAAACAACAAAAACAAGACAGATTTATTGTGCAATATGTGACACAAAATGTGTTAAGTGTTACTGTGCAAATTAGTCAAAGTTAGCAACAAGGGTAACAAAGAATAACAACACAGTACAACATTGTCTTTAAACACCATTAACGAGCCAATAAAGAAACAAACAAAAAGCAGAAGCTAATAACAAATGATTTGACATTATTAATTATGGCCAATTATAAAGACAGTTTGCTCTGTTAAGAACAGTGTTATTGTGCCATCACAATTTCTTTTGTACAGTAAGCAGTATGCATTAGATTGCGTTTATCAGCATTAAGTTTTTTTGTACTATTTTTATTCATCAATTTGTCTAGATATTATGAATGGCTATTCTAAAATGTACTAAATGACAAAACACTGCTATTTCACTACTACTAAAACATGAACTATTTTTTAAAAGTACTGTATATACATTAATGTGGCCTTGTTTAATTATTTAGTAAGGCTTTCTCTCCTGATGATCTCCCTTGTGACAAAAAACCATAGAATACTTAAAGGGTTTTTGCTTGTGATGAGATAAATAAATAGATAAACAATCTCTATTGGCAAACCACTGTACTGGAGTAATATATAGGATCACAAAATAAACGTATTTAATATAATCACAATGATTTTTAAAAACCAGGACCACTGTTCTTTCAGTGTCGATTTAAAGTAAGGTACATTTAATGAAGACTGAAGACAGAAAATAAAAACTACACAAAGAGAGTCAAAGGTATTATATTATATTATATTATATTATATTATATTATATTGCATTATATTATATTATATTATATTATATTATATTGCATTATATTATATTGTATTGTATTATATTATATTATATTATATTATATTGCATTATATTGTATTATATTATATTATATTATATTGCATTATATTGCATTATATTGTATTATATTATATTATATTGCATTATATTGCATTATATTGTATTATACTATATTATATTATATTATATTATATTATATTGCATTATATTGTATTATATTATATTATATTGCATTATATTGCATTATATTGTATTATATTATATTATATTATATTATATTATATTATATTATATTATATTATATTATATTATATTATATTATATTATATTATATTATATTGCATTATATTGCATTATATTATATTATATTATATTATATTATATTATATTATATTATATTATATTATATTATATTATATTATATTATATTGCATTATATTGTATTATGTTATATTATATTATATTACAGCACACAATTATTTAGTGACCTATTATAACTGAGACTGTGAATAAAATAAATAAATAAATAAATAAGTTAATAAAAAACAAGATGTAAAAATATTTACTGATAATACATTTTAAATTTGACTAAAAACCCCACACATTAATTGTTTCCTATAAATTAAGAAATATGAGATAAAAACTTTAGGATTAGACTTGAATCTAATAATAAGGACAGTCCCATTGCATGTTTGAGGTATTTTTTAAAAACCTCTTTAAAAGTTAATCATTTATTTTATTGATGGATCCAAGTGGAACAAAGTCTATCCCTGGATGATGACCCTGCACTAGAATAAAAATACACAAATAAAAACATACATTATACATTTATGTTGGTAGACTACTGTAGAGAACCAGCACCAACACTAAAATATACGAATATCAACAATGTACAATTTACAATTAGTTATGTGGTTACATTTTATATTTGTACTTCTGTTTTATATCAAAATCATATTTTACCATCATTAATCGCTTAAAAAGTTAATGCTTTAATAAGTGGATCTTAGTAGAGGAGCGTCGTCCCTCTTGCGCTGGAGTGAAAAATAAAACCCCGGCCAGCATAAATCAGACGTGTGGACTGAGGTCAGTCATTGATTGAGTGAGTTTTTGTGAGCGTAACTCAAAGATGCGTTTCAGTGTCTCTCACTTGACAGTGAAAGCTTTATGGTCAGATGTCAGCAGGACGTTTTCTCAGTATTGATGGTCTGCTGGGTGTTACAGCTGTTCCTTCACACCATGCATTTACCTGCCCGGGCCACTGGGCTGAAGCAGAGCTACAAGAGCTGCCGGCTCTCTCCCTGACCCTCTGTGGACCCAGTGATGTAATCAAAAAGGACGAAGGCGTACGCTTGATCCGACACACACTGACAGGGCAAGAGATGGACATTTAGACTGTGTGTGTGTGTGTGTGTGTGGATTTATGCCAAAGGGACACATTAGTTCTAGAATAATGGAGTAGAATCTTCTGTTTGTTAGTCTTTCACATTGTATTTAAGAATCATAAACAGGCATACAAAAAAAGGCAACTCCTGTTAAGCTGATTTAATGGGCAGAGGTCAATATAAATAATAAAAAAAATGTGATGTTACATGTCATATGATAAAAAATTAGACGTTCAAATGACTTGCAGTACTGTTTTTATATTTAAGTGCGCAAGAGTGGGAAAAAGATATCTCTGTATTTTCTGTATTATATTTTTCTATATGTGCTATGACAATATTTCTGAATATATGATTGTGATTGAATGTTAGGATTTAGACGTTTTTCTGAACATTTTTACTACAAATTACCTAATAATTAAACAATCAATAATTAAACAAAGTTGGTGCTGGTAGCTCAGATGGTTTAGGCCGGTCATAAATTAATAAATGACACTAAGGGCTCTATTTTAATGATTTAAGTGCATGGTCTAATGCATATGGCACTGAGGCACTTACAGCATGTCTGAATACAGTTTTACTATTTTAAGGACAGTAAAAACTCTAAAAGGTCTAAAAGGATTGTCCTTATTCCCTTAATGAGTTATGGGTGTAACATGCATTACACCAAAGAACCATGGGGTGAAGGAGTGGGAGGAGGTATGGGTTTTATATAGACAATAATAATCTTTTACATTTTAATTCTTAAAATGTTCACATCTTATGATGTTAGAGTGTTCCTGTGTCTGCCTCTACAGGCGAGTATGATAATCTCGATCTAAAAAAAAAAAATTGCACTATTGACTTTAGACCAGTGTATAGTGGGTCAGTCCATTTACTCTCCTTTCCTTTCCTTATAGGCTTAGTCCGATTTATCAATGAACCGCCAATTACTTCCAGCACTGGGGTTGGGAACAACTAATACACTCTCCTATGTCACATGTCTTTATTCTGTGGGGGAAGGTTAGGAACTCCCACATGAACATGGGAAGAATATGAAATCTCCACACAGATATGCCTTCTGGCCGTCGGCGCTAGTGGTGTAGTGGTTAGTGCGTCGACACATGCACTCCGGTGCTCGCGGCGACCCGGGTTCGATTCCGCCTCACGGTCCTATGCCGATCCTTCCCCTCTCTCTGCTCCCCATGCTTTCCTGTCAATTATCTATACTGTCCTATCAAAAATAAAGGTGAAAACCCAAAAAAATAAAAATAAAAAAAAGAAAGAAAAAAAAGATATGCCTTCTGGCCCAGCTTTGACCTAAATCAGCAACGTTCTTGCTGTGAGGCAACAATGCTAACCACTGAGCCACCGTCTATTTGAGCTGCCTCAAATTAGCAACACACCAACAATGCGCCTTAACACACCTGCTTTTGAGACCGAATGTGCTGAATGTGAAAAGGTACATGCGCCATGCTGAAATTGGCAAAAAACACTTGCGTCACTGATTTGCACTGGGTGTATTGAAGGACCCTTTGGCTGCTTTGACATGGATTCTTGGTTTGAGAACCAGTTGCATTTTCTCACTTCATTCAGATTTTTTTGGCATGAAACGATCACCGTAATCATACTCCACACCAAAACAATCAGTCATAATGTGGCCTGAAAATCAACTTTAAAGCAGTTTACACATAGTCTTAAATCAATCTGACCGAATGGACAAACTAGTCAAATTGAATTTAGCTATTATGTACATTGCATTTAAAAAAAAAAAAAAAAAAGGTAGTAGTTTGTTTGTCTATTGACCCTTAGATTTAATGCTTGGTCAACCTGAGGCAAATTAAGGCTTTTTAATGGGAGCAAGAATGGTGAAGTAATAAAAGCTTCCTAAGAGATGCGGTCTGTCTATTCGGATCAGTTCTGGAACATAGACTGCTGCTATCTGACCAATGAGCGACCATACTAGAGTTTACTTGTATGTGAAAAATGATGATTAAGTTGTTAAATCTTGTGAACCAAGCCAAAATTGCTACATTGTATCAGTTTTAATCCTTGTTTCATAAAAAAAACATTCTACAGATTCTACAGCTATGAAAATGCCCTGCTAGTCGGTGATTGCTTCAGTGATTCATTCAAATGATTTATAATTCAGAAAGGAAGCAAAAGTGACTGTATTTATGAATGGATCATTGAATGATTAGTTCAAAAATGGATTCATTCAATAGCGAAATACAGCAGTGTTACTCTAAGCTTATAGGCTTTGTTTAGATAAATTTTCATTAATAAATCAGAAATAAAAACTCAAAATAATGTTTCTAAATACAAGTCACCTAATATTATGGTATTTTGCGGTTCTATAGAATCTTACCCTGTAGTTGACCTTTTCCATGACCTGTTGTGGATCGCTCTCCAAAATCACTCTGTAAAGTCAAAAAGCAAAATATGAATGTAGAAATTCATCAATCTTACAAAATATGAATATGTGAAACATATTTGTTTTTGCTAAGAAAATGCATTTTTTACAGAAAATACAAACTAAATTGATCAAACATGACAACAAAAAATCTAATGTTATTATTATTGTTAGATTTGTGTTTCAAAGTTTCAAGTTCAAATGCAATATTTACTGTTTTTATGTTATTATCATATTTTCATTCACATTATTGCACCAAAGCAGCATATAGACAAAAAAAATCTCTTTTACAAGATTGTCCTGGCCCAGATTTACACTGCACAGCCCATGTGGCTTTAACAAATAACACACAACATCATTCATCCATCAATACACATATTAAAATGACATTTATAACTAGTCTAATTATGCTATTAAAGTCAGAATTATTAGCCCCCCTTTGATTTTTTTCTTCTTCTTTTTAAAATATTTACAAAATTTAAATTTTCAGAGTATGTCTGATAATATTTTGTTTTATTTTGGCTAGAAAAAAGCAGTTATTATTTTTTTTAAATACCATTTCAAGGACAAAATTATTAGCCCCTTTAAGCTCATTTTTTCGATAGCCTACAGAAAAAACATTGCTATACAGTAACTTGCCTAATTATCCTTACCTGCCTAGTTAACCTGAATAAACTAGTTAGGCCTTTAAATGTCTAAGCTGTATAGAAGTGTCTTGAAAAATATCTAGTAAAATATTATTTACTGTCATCATGACAAAGATAAAATAAATCCGTCATTAGAAATGAGTTATTAAAACTATTATGTTTAGAAATATGTAAAAAAAAAATCTTCTCTCCCTTAAACAGAAATTGGGGGAAAATAAACAGGGGGGCTAATAATTCTGCCTTCAACTTTATATAATAATGAGTTGTTTTCTAAACAAAAGTGTAACCAAAACATCATTATTTACCCTCCATCAATGATTTCATCCACCACAAGGAAAACTCCATCCATATTATCCAGCAGAGTCCTTTTCTCCACATTCTTCCTGTTGGAGAAGAACCGCACATCTGAGCACACAAATGGCCTACTGTGACACTTTATTTGCTGCATATCCTATGGTTACCACTGGAGGCTTGATGCCAAAAATAGCTACTGGAATTTCATACACGAGTAAGTTTATAGGCAGCAAGAGTAGCACATGATGTCAATAGGGGCTTTCACACATTGGCAGTTAGAAGTTCTCGGTTATAGGAACTAGTTACCAAGCCAGTCCCATGAGAACTACCCCTCGAGGTATTTTTCCTTATTTGCACCATCATTACAAACTCTAACAGGTTAAAGCAACTAACATCAACTTTTATGTTAATATCTTGAAACTGCCAGTGTTCCAACACCTGAAATCAGTCTCAGTTCCAGCTGTACAAACATGCAAATATCATATATTTCCACCAATAGTAAGCTTTGAAAACATTCCACTGGTGCAAGGGTGTCAAACTCCAGTTCCTGGAGAGCTGCTGCACCTCACAGTTTAGTTCCAACCCTGCTTCAACACACTTACCTGTGAGTTTCAAACAATCCTGAAGCACTCAGTTAGTTTGGTGCAAAGTTGTGGCCCTCCAGGAATTGAGTTTGACCAAGTGAATATGTCCTGTTCTTATCAAACACAGACTATATCAATATCAAACACAGACTGGCCTCACGATTTGGTGCTCAAAGTTTTGGGGTTGGTTTGGATTTATTTTTAAAGGCATAGTTCACCCAAATAATGACAATCTTATCACTATTTAATCACCCTCAGGTGATCCCAAACCATCATGAATTTCTCTCTTCTGTTATTTTAAAACAAAAAATATATTTTGAAGAAAAATGAAAACCGGTAAAGTGGTTCCATTGTAGAAAAAACACTATAGAAGTTAATGGTTACAGGTTTACGATGTTGAAAAAATATCTTCTTTTGTGTTGGACAGAAGAAAGAAAACTATAAAGGTTTGTGACAAGTAATGGGTGAGTAAAAGATGAATGAATTAACATTTTTGGCTGAACTATCCATTTATTTCCAATGAATTGAAGCGATTCAATAACGTAAATGTTTACATTACATTTTTCAGCAGTCGATACCTTTTCAATGTCACACAATCCATCAAAAAACACTCTAATATACCCATTTGTTGCCCAAGAAACATGTCTTTGAATTATTTTTGTTGAAAGTACCACCTAAACTTTTTTCCTGCATCAAACAAACATAATTTATTTGAAACAGAAATATTACAAATGTCTTTACTTCACTTTTGATCAATATAATAGATTCCTTGTTGAATAAATGTATATTTCTTTCAAGTCACTAACCACATAGTATATGTTCTTACACTAATTTTACATACTTAGAGAATGAACTCACCTCAACATTTGACTGAGAGAGTCAAACAAGCAGTTCAACACTGCCATCAACATGAGCTGGAAGACAAACACAGGAAGAGAGAGCAGAAAGACAGAGACAGAAAAGGAAATGAGATGAAACATTTTTGTTGCATCTGCATCCTCTTCAAAACAAAAGTCGATGAATCCGATGTCAAACGTCGTCCAAAACTGGCCAGCTCTCCATAGCAGTAGGAAAGAATTACAGTCACATGCAAAACAAGTGACTGTGATAATTCCAGCCAATCACATGCCAGCTCAGCTGCATACAGGACTCACCTCGTTCTCCTGAGCGCTACCGACTACATAGAAGAACAGGTCTATGCTGCTCTTGTAGACTATCGTCATTCCCTCTAAGAAGGCGATCTCATCTGCACACAAGGACAGAAAGCAGAAGATTTAAAGGGATAGTTCAGCCAAAAATGACAATCCCAAGTGCTTCTAAACACTCAAAAAACTACTTATTTAAAATGAGCTGAAAAAACAATTCTTGAGAATTGTTAATTTTTAATGTTCAATCCACATAAATATGTTAGAAGATTTAAGTTAACTTAATCAATTTGTGTTGGGACAGCATGAAGGAGTTGTGTGGAACCCATTTTTTTACAGTGAACTTATGAATTTATTTCTCCTTTTGAACACAAAGAAGATACTTTGAATGTTGTCATAAACCAGCAGTCATATGCTGCTTTCCAATTGGGATACTATCTGCCCTTAATAGTATTTGAAAATAGAATTAGTATGTCCCAAATCGTAGTATGTTAAAAATAGTATATCAAAGGTTCCCGGATGGTTTACTATTTCCGGTAAAAATTTTAAGAGTAGAACCGTCCATACTCTAACTGCTGATTTTGTCCAAAGTATACACTATACTTAGTAGTATACACCAAAGTACACTGCACGTTGGACAGGAATTTGATTAGAACTAAAAAACCTGGGTGAAAAGTGTAAATAAACTACAAACATTATGGATGCGCGAGACCAACCGTCAAGTAGAGAGGCTTCGATAAAGATGTTTGCATGACTGTAAATTAATATCTAAAGACTGGAAAATATTTAAATCGCGTTGTCTGTGTTGTATTTCAACTACAACAACAATACTTGTAACTTATATAAAGACGTGTTTGGTCATTATCGTCTGAATGCATAATTATCCAAAGACCTGAGGAAATTTCTCTGCATGAAAGACTCGTGAATGGAAGATTAACCTGCTGCTGCTTCTCCAATAAGGTCGGAAATTAAATATGACAGAAATATGGATGATGTGTAGATGATTGACAGGGCTCATAAATAAGCAACGCAATGATCTGTTAATGAGGAAATAGTATGTCCCAAAGCTTGCAAATTCTTCTGTTACACACTCAATAGTATATATTTTTCCTTCACAAAAAAAGTACATATCGGGTGTAGTATAATTATGTGAATTGGGAGGCAGCAATACTCAGTGTAATTTGTTCCTACTATGGATGTCAGTGGCTGCAGGTTTCCAACATTATTTAAATATCCATGAGTGTGAGTAAATTGTGAGAATCTTTATTTTTGGGTCAACTACTGTATGCTTTTATTTATATAATTTATTTATTTTAAATGTGTTTAATTATTTTAAAAAAATTGATCTATGCGAATGTTTTATACAGTTAAGTGGCAAAATAAACTTCAAAGCAAGATCAAAGAGAGAGTATTTTTTTACTTTGGTTTTCTTGGTTGGTTTAAGCCTGACCGTAGAACAAAATAAGGATGTGTTCCCACTTTGGTTCAATTAAAACAAACTATAGTGAAACTGCGCTGCTTGCAGTATGTTTTGCAGCATAATACAAGCCCTAAAAGCTGTTTCCAGAGCCAGTATTTACATGTAATGAGTAACATCAAGAAAAAATGAAGAAGAAAATAACCATACATGAGTTTTCGGTCCTTTTGATAGCCACATCTTGTGGCATTATGTCCCTTTTTATTTCATTTAGATTTCTTTGGTTTGTGTTAGATTCATATCTCATTTGAGTTTATTTGGAAGCAGATCTTTCAGGAATTTTAGTCTGCTTGTTGTTCAACCACACAAACAGGGTTCAAACTTAGCAGAATAAGTGTGAACACACCCTTAATTGCTCTTTTAACTTCGGTATTATACGGTCAGTATCATATAAAGAGTAAGACCATAAAGAAAATCTTAAATGTATTATACAGAACGGTGCAAAAGTGTTTTTATTAATCAGCATGTAATATAAATTGCAATACATTTCACAAGTACAGAATGTGAATAAGTGAACTGCTTAGACAAGAAAAAGCGCTGGTAGGATTTTGTACAATGAGAAATTACACATGTAGATGGTTGGATGGATTTGGTTAGCTACAGGTAGATCTCTTGTGATTTACAGGTTGATCCCATCCACAAAGGTTATTTTGATTAGGAGTGCATAAGAATTACAAAAAAAAAAACAAAAAAAAAATGTATGTATTGTATAATTTTAATGACCCTTGGACAGTATTTTACTTTGTGGTGTTGTGCTTAAATGCTGGTTTCATATTCTCAAAGTTTCATGTGAAGACAACACTTGTAGGGCAGAAGTAATTATACTAAGACTTTTAATCCAGATGAATATCAATATATATTTGTCTGGCTATCTGAATGAATAATGAACTACACACTGTAAAAAAATGCTGTAACATTTACAGTATTACTGGCAATTTTGGAGGCTAGTATTACTGTAAAATTTACAAGTGGATTGTAAATTAACACTGTAAAACTGTAAATTTTAAAACTACAGCACAGTTGTAACTTTTCATTTACAGAGCCCTTTTACAATTTTACAGTATTTCTGGCATCCAAAATTGCCAGTAATACTGTACATTTGACAGAATTTTTTTTTTACAGTCCAGTTAAGAATTACTCTTGACACGCAGATCACCATTTGTTGTTTCACCTTTAAGTGACAAATACAGGTGTGTATTTTGACCACATAACATCAGCTGACAGGATCAGGGTGGTTTTACTGTCGCGGTGTCACACTCCTTGGCCCACAGCGCAAGTGACTAAAAACATTTATGAATTCTGGAACAGGTTCTCCACCCAGTTTTGCAGTAATCTGACCTACAAGCCCCAGAGGATCCTTGTAATTTCTAATGACCGAGGCCTTCTCTAAACTAGTTCTGAAACTCGATCTGGGACTAATCTGGGACACTTCTTATTTTACTCAGAGAGTGCTTCTGGTCCTAATCGACACAATAAGATCTCCAAATTCATGAAACCCTTAGAGAACAGTTTGAGCTGGAACAAAGCAGACGGCCAGGTCTATTCACTATACACATTTGGCAGGATACCGATTAAAATGCAACACAGAGCCTATAAAATAATCGACTTACTGTCAGCTTTGTGTGTTTTGTTGAAGACGTTCTTCTCAAAATTCTTCTGCTCTTTCATGGAGGGGTAGAGTTCTGCATCATAGTACTGAAATTTCACAGAAGTCATTTGTTACACGACATGTTTGTTTGTTTTTTTCTTCAAGTAATATGTTGCAGTTAAACATAATGGAAGCAATCCTAACGTAAATGAATACAAATGGGAATAAAATATATATGAAAAACTAAGATCTGGTTAAAGTTATAGTTAATACAAGCGTGAAAGTGAAGTATTTACTGACAAACCTTAATGAGTTTCATTTTTTATTGAACACAATAAGTAAACTGCTACTTGCATAAGTAAAACAATTACAGTGAAAGTCAATAGTAATTAATTTCCAGATTTTTTTCTAATATAAAACAGAAAAAGGACACTCATTAAGGTTTGTTATGGGTGAAGAGTGAGAAAATGATGACATCATTTTCAGTTTTATGTGATCTATCCCTTTAAGGTGTGCTCATTTAGGTAATTTTATATTTTTGTCCCAGTTACTCTACAAGAGAAACGTCAAGGTTTCAATATATCATATTTAAAGTACAGAGTTATTCTTTAACATTAGCTATTCCTTTAATAAAAGAAGTCATTTTTAGATATGAAATTAGATCCTTTCCCTGTACATCAGGGGTGTACAAACTCAGTCCTGGAGGGCCGGTGTCCTGCAAATTTTACTCCAGGACTGAGTTTGGACACCCCTGCTGTATATCAAAGGACAAATGTACTTGTATAATAATAAACAACATAATAAATAATAATAGGCATGGCAAGGCAAGTTTATTTATATAGCACATTTCATTCACAATGGTAATTCAAAGTGCCTTACAGAAACATGAATAAAAGAAACAAGAAAATAAAAACTGATTAAACAAATTAAAAATTATTAAAACTGGAAAAAATATTAAAAATAATAACTAAATATATTTGAAAATAAAAATAATAACTGAATATATTTAATACAATTAAAAATGTAATTATTTAATAAAATAATAATTACAAATATCGAAATCATGTTTAAAATAAATCTTTAAAATCATTTTTAAAATGGCTAAAATATCTAGGTTCAGTTCTTACTCTATTCTCATATGTATAATAACAATAATAGTTATAATAACAAAATAATGATATCAACAATAAATATTATACTATATATAAATAATTCAAGTGATATTGCATATCTGATAATACATATTAAGACAATTTATTAAATTATAATATTCATAATTTTTAACAGGCTAAAATGCCTGAAGTGTAAATTATCCATCTTCGATGAAAAAAATAAGTGTAAAGGAGGAGTCTATGCACCTTTGAGAGAAGTCTGTTTCCATCGTTGTCTAAGATGAAGACTGCCTTAACTGTGTACAGCGAGGGTTCCTGGTTGAAAATAAATCATGATAATATTAATTTTGAATGTTCAAAACTTTTGTATTTAATTCAAGATTAAATACATCCGTCACACATGTCGATACAGACGTACAGAAGGTTTAGTCAAAACAGGCTGTTGGCTCTCGCTTTGGGTCCGTCCGGGCCAAAGTTCTGTCATGCACTGACTACCACTGATTCAAAGTCTGAGTGTATCACAGAACTTGAGCCAGGTGAACAGGAGAAAACCATCATCTTTTCAGATCATCTGGCTGAAATATGAGTCAATCCTGTCTCGATACAGACCTTCAGGGCCCAATACCGAAACCTCAGCAGCTGTAAATTATAATAGCTATTAAATATCTAGTAAACCGTGATTCTATGTATTAAAATAATCATGAATGACTTTTAACTATAACGTTAAATGAATATTCTGCTCAATTTAACAATAACATATGCAGTATGCTACTGCATCTGTTCATTCCAAGGTTATTTGAAACGGAGTATTGTGTGTAAACAATGAGTATAACAATGCAAGGCCTTTCCTTTTGTCAAAGTCAGTAATGAATGAATGTCACTTGTACCATCACCTTATGTAGCACACGTACATGTATTATGTAGGCTACTATAACATTCCAAATATATTCCTTTTTTGACATTTAACTTGAGACAACAGTACATTTTATTGAAATATAAAAGTTAATTTAAATGGTAAATGTCATCCTACATTTAACAGTATTAAAATGGTAAATAGCTACTTTAAAAACACTTTTCCCCCCACGTATAAGGTTATTTTATTCACTAAAGGCGAGTCGCTGCTCAGGTAGGCTATACTTCATTAATCATATGTAGTGATAAGGGGTGTTGTTTATATAGGTCAACTCATAAGAGTATTAAAATGTCCATGGCAAGCAGTAACCCTGATCTCCTCCAAGTGTCCACCTGTGGAATCAATCACGCGCACCGCACAGGCAGCGCGCGCTCCGCTCCGGCAGACGCGCATCGAGGACGTGGCATCCACGTCTCACTCTGAAAACCCACATCATCCACGACTACACGGAAAAAACTTTCAGAACAAACGGGACTCAAGTGCAGAATGAACATGAACACACCTGTAGCGCACATTAGGAGGAACACACGACAACATTCGCATTTGGCACGACTATCCGCTTATAATCGGAAAATAATGTTATGCTTTGCTCCCAGAAATGTTCACTTGCTCGCAAAAAGAAACCGGATCGGTCTCTGGCAGCAACATTTCGATTTCGGGAATGAAAAATGCAAGCACCAGCGTTTATAATACAAAGCAACGCGCGTTTCCAGTACTTCACAATTGTAGGTTTTCTTAAGATATTTTTTAACTTAGCAGGCTAAGCCTTAGAATAATATAAAGAGAATTTTATCGCTGTAGAAAAGACATTTCTTCTTAGATTTAAAGACAAAAACTGCGCACAAGCTGCTCAAGCCTGTCGATATACGATTTCAGCGTTTACGATAAGTTAAATAAAAAAAGAGCAAGGATTAAATGGCACACATAACCTACCAGAGCCGCGGAGTCCATGGTTGTAGCAGTGTTGACGTGGACAGCTTTGAGCTGTCATTACACTAGCGCTCCTAAAGCCTCTGACTCACAGGGGGCGTGTCTGCAACTACAGCCAGGGAGCCGCCATTTTGGCTCAACCTCACCGTAGCGATCTGGTACAGAAACGCTCCGGTGGAGGAGCCACAATGGCGGATTTTATTGTGCGCTCTGCTGCTTTCTTGAATGTATTGGGCGGTCTGATAATTAAATTAATATTTAAGCGTCACGTCACTTGGTCCAACGAGTTTAATTACGTGTAACTGCCATTTACATAAAACACCTGTGCGAACAGGATATGCTATGAATTTATAATCAACAGCAGTTGACTTATGTAATGCCCCCTCTTGCTAACGCGACAGGGGGCAGCAAAGCTGAAGAGCTTACTTACACATAGATTACTGTAAACGTACATTTAAAACAACATTAGTAAAATGGTTTATTATTAGATCTATTTTAAGTATACATGAAGCAACATTATTACTATTATTATTATCTGGGAATCCTCTCCCTCACTAAATATTAGAGCCTATACAGAATTAAATTATTATTTGATGAGGATAATATTTAAATGATGATGATAATGATAATAAAAGCAAACATAATAGGCCTACATAATTTATAGGCCCTTTAGAATTTCTTTATAATAATATATTTATTATAAAAATTATATATATATATATATATATATATATATATATATATATATATATATATATATATATATATATATATATATATTATCCAAGCATTGTACACACATTTTATAAAATGTTATTAAATAATATAAATAAAAATATTAGATTATACATTATTATTATTGTAGTCAGTATTATTATTATCATCTGTACATCCTCTGTATATACAGACAAAAGCGCAAGATCACACTTTTTGTTTTGCACTAAATACTATCTTTAAAAAATGCTATAAATAAAATATTTTTATAAAGTTGTTAATAATAATAATTATTAATAATTGAGCCAAGGGTTGATTATGGTAATAACATTAAAAGTATAATATTATAGCATAGTATTTAATTAAATGGTATTACTATATATATATATATATATATATATATATATATATATATATATATATATATATATATATATATATATATATATTTATTTTTTTAATAAGGGTGATGATGACGCCCTTTATTGTTGTTCTTGCATTATCTCCCTCTTTTAAATTGCATTACAGAATAAAAGTCCACACTTTTTGCATAGGCTACTAAACTTTAAATACTAGATTTTAATTATAACCATATTACTACAATAAGGGTAAGCCATTAAAGTTCTGAAGAAAATAAATGTTATTGGAAAATCAGAAGTCTGTTGTAAACACTGATGAACGGAGTGAGCACGCGCTGTCTGACCGAAAGAAAACCGAAAGTCTCGTTTACGTCACGTAGGAGGAGACCATGGCTGTTTCTCAATTCCAAGAACGCAGAGAATGGACTTGCGTTCTTGTAGAGTGCGGTCTTGCCAGGTGTCCTCGGAAGAACGAACTCAGGAGACCGCGAGGGCAGAGAACGCGTCCTTTGAGAAATGGGATGCTGCGTTCTTCCTGATGGTCATGTGACCTTCACGTGTTTTAAATGGAAATTATTTAAACATTACAGCACTCATACAACGATTTATTGTTTTTCCTCTCTTCAAAATATATACTTTGCATAAAAACATTAGAAATATATGTTGCACAATATAAATAAAACAGATTTTAATACGAATTTCAGCAAACAAACAACCCTTAATGTGTTTATTCCTTTATTAAGATGTTCATGTTAATGTTTACTTTCACCGTTTCATTTAGGGAAACTCCTGAGGTAAATAAGTGATATCTCTAAACTTTAATAATAAATCTAAATAAAATGCAGCGCTTCCCACCTCCAGTCGCAATGACTTCTGGGACTTCCAGAGCGAGTTCGGTGCTCAAGTCAGCATCAGTGCGTCCTCGATATCAAGAACACATCCGGGAAGTTTCACGCGTCCTCCGTACTTGCGGTCTTGAGTATTGGAACTGAACTTAGGCAGCTGATGATGACGTTTCACGAGAACACGAGGACGCAAGACCGCTGAAGAACGCATATTGAGAAACAGCCCTTGCTTTCCAGCACTCACCGACTCCTGCCCCATAAATACACTCGCATATCATTATAGAGCATGTTGTGTGATTCAGATCATCCAGGAGGAGTAAGTGTTCAGTTCGCACGCCTTTATTTACTGACTTCCAGAACTCTCGTCTGCCGACCGACAAGGTAATGCAAATCACTTTCTATAAATCTATACAGTGAGCTTATTGTGAGAACTGATTTTGGATTTGTAGTTGTCTAAGCTTTGTCGTTTATCTTTTTCATATAGTCGGCTAATCACCTAAAAGTGTGTAGCTTATCACATAATTACTGTATAACTCATGAGGTCAGTGCATGTTTTGTGAGTGTGTGGGTCACCTCACTCACCTGTTGTGTTATGACAGGAAAAAAACATGTTCTAGTACTTTTTTGAAGTATGTAGTAGCTTATTTTGTTTTTCTTAACCCGCACCACTATTACATCATTGCGTGACTCAAGCTGCCTGTTGCCCAGTTATGAAGAAATAATAAAGTGGGTCAGCGGGAGTGTCACGCGTTATTGACTGCTGTTAATGAAGGTGATGTGTTATAGGCTACAGTTCCATCATTACAGCTTCAGTCAAGATAACCGAAGAGCATTCTGGAAGACTCGCGCCTCCACCTTGTGTGTTCATTGTTTAATCTTGAAACATGCTCAAAACTGAAAGTGAATTCACAATAGATGGTCTCGCGTAAACCTTATTGCTGTACTTACATATGAATATAGGCTATTACATATACATATTGAGTGATTAAAGAATACAAATGACTGACGACATACAGTTAAAGTCAGAGTTATTAGCCCCACTGAATAGCCCCGTTTATTTTCCCCCCAATTCCTGTTTAACGGAGAGATTTTTTTTCAACCTATTTCTAAACATAATCGTTTTAATAACTCATTTCTAATAACTATTTATTTTATCTTTGCCATGATGACAGTAAATAATATTTGACTAGATATTTTTAAGACACTTTTATACAGCTAAAAGTGACATTTAAAGGCTTAACGAGGTTGATTAGGTTAACTAGGCAGGTTAGGGTTTTTAGGCAAGTTATTTTATAATCATGGTTTGTTCTGTAGACTATCGAAAAAAATTAGCTTAAAGGGGCTAATAATTTTGTCCTAAATTTGTTTTAAAAAAATTAAAAACTGCTTTTATTCTAGCTAAAATAAAACAAATAATACTTTTTTCTAGAAGAAAAAAAACATTATCAGACATGCTGTGAAAATTCCTTTGCTCTGTTAAACATCATTTGACTTCAACTGTACTTCTAAAATATAATTTATATTCTGATCTAATTTATTAAAACTATTTTTCCCCAAAAATGTTTCGTTTTAGCCCACACTTTTGGGATGTAATGCAGCTTACTGACCGCCCGGTAGAAGTGTGGGCCAATCAGATGTGCCAGCTTGATCTCACAACAATTAAATTATTTTTTATAGACAAGGTGTATCAGTGACAAGCTTAACGCTTTTAACATATTTATGTGGATTAAACATAAAAAAAAAATATTGACCCAGTGAAATCTCAAGAATTGTGTTGTTTCAGCTCATTTTAAATAAGTTTGACCGAGAAAAATGTTTTTTTTTTGAGTGTTTAACTAAGGCATTAGACAGCTAAACACTTTTCAATAATATTTTAAGTTCTCTAAACTTAACATTTTAATTGGTTTAAACAATTCACCATATGTCTGTTTAAAATGATTGGTCATGCTTGAAATTCTGCTTTGACAACCGCACTGATTGGTCAATATATGTAAAATGACACAAGATGATCATTTTGCTTGTAATGCTGAATTTTGCCAAAGCAGAGCCAAGACAAAGGCACTACCTGAACCCATCTGACAAAACAAAGAGAAAAGTTAAATTAGTAAGTAACGCTTATATATTTTTTTTTCTTAATCTATATACTATCTAATGTTAGAATAGATACATAAATATTATCATTTAAGTAATCTGTTAATTCAATGAAAAGATCACTTTTGGTCAACTCAATTAATTGAGTTGTTGATTTTCCATCACTCAAACGAATTGAGGGAATCACTTTCCTCGGTCACACTTTATTTTGGTGACCTTACATTTCAACTAATTCTCATTAGATTATAAGTAGACTTTTAGGTTGGGGTTAGAGTTGGAGTTAGCTTTAGTGTAAGTTGACATGTCCTTGCAAAGTTTCTCATAGTCAGTTAAATGTCTGTTGAAGGAGCAGTATCAACAGATATTAAGCAGACAGTTCACTTATACTCAAATGGACCATCAAAATAAAGTGTTACCCTTTCCTCAAATCATTTGAATGGTCTCAACTAATTAGGGTTTGCAGTGTAAGCATATGAGGGCCCAATCTTATTGCAAACAATAGCCACTGTTATCTCCTTTAATCTAAAAGACAGCATAGGGTGTTTCGTTTACTATTTCAAATGGAGCACCAGTGTCATGGATATAATGAACATGCAATTTCAATCTCAAATGGCACACTTCATGTGCACTTGCACTTTCAGGGGACACTTACAGGCACCCCTGTGTGACCTCTCTGTGCACTCTATGCACACTAATGCCAAGCCTTCATTGAGGCAAGCTTTGAGGGAGTCTTTTACCTGAAATTTAAGGCATGGGTGTTGTGTTGGGTGTTGTGTGTGCATGTGCTTTATGTAAAGTTCTGCCTAGATCACACTTAGGCAAGCTAAGAGGAGATTAAAGGCAAATGCAGGGAGACCCTACAGTCAAAATGGCATTACGTCATGATAGTGTGGACTCGCACTTAGACTAAATAAAAATGTCAAAATCTTAAATTCTGATGTCATTTCATTTTTTTTTTCCAGAATATTTTGTCACTTCACTATTTCCTCAAAAACTCTCAAGCTTCAACTGTACAGCTGAATACAGAGACTAGCTAATTTTGCAGACGAGACTGATTTGACTCAGTTTTTGCTGCCGGTGATGGTTTGGGC